GCACATTGTGCGCTCTGATGTCACCATAGAGCTGGTAGCGGATATTCCTGCTTTCTCACTAGAGGAACTACAAAAAGCCATCGGGAGTTTAAAAAATAAAAAGGCTCCTGGCCCAGACGGCATGCAGGCGGAAGTTCTTAAGATAGCACTTCAATCAAACCCTGATCTGTTGCTGACAATGTATAATGCTTGCCTGTCGACAGGTGTTTTTAGCAAGCGTTGGAAAGTTGCACGCCTTGTCCTGATCAGCATGTTTGACGCAGCGGGGAAAGCCTTGGAGAAATTACTGAAGCCACGATTGCTTAGCGCAATAGAAGATGCTGGGGGATTATCTCCTAAACAATATGGTTTTCGATCTAGAAGATCTACAACTGATGCTGTCATGGAGGTCGTCGAAGCTGTTCGAAGAGCGGAAAACCGCAACCGCCATTCACGCCGCATTGTCCTACTCGTGACCCTTGACGTTAGGAATGCATTCAATTCAGCAAACTGGAACGATGTGCTTACAGCCTTAGAAAAATCTTTTCACATACCGAAATATCTTCTACGAATGATAGACGACTACCTAAGAAATCGCGTTCTCATTTACGAAACTAAAGAAGGGTACAGAAGGAAGACGATAACATCGGGGGCTGCACAAGGATCTATCCTTGGTCCGGATCTATGGAATGCGTCTTACGATTAGGGTTCCCAACCGTCCCGGTTTGGCCGGGATTAACCAGGAATCAGAAAGTTTGTCCCGGCGAAAGTTTTGCCTTGGCCGGGACCTAATGTTATGTTTTATGTTTAAAAATTAAAAAAGTGTGTACTACATAATATATTTCAATTTCTAATATTTAATGTTTTGTTTCAATTATTTAAAAGCTTAAAAATAATTGTCCCGGAATCGCCAGTGCTCAAGTTGGGAACCCTACTTACGATGGCCTATTGAGAACAAATATGCCCGAGGAATCAGTATTGGTCGGGTACGCCGATGACGTCGCCGCACTTATCGCAGCTAGAGATATGGAGATGGCCCAAATCAAATTAAGGAGTGTGATGCTAACTATTAATAACTGGATGACGAACCATGGACTATCACTGGCTCTTATGAAAACAGGAATTGTGGTTCTCACAAAAAGCAGAATAAACACAGTGCTCCCATTCCACGTAGGGGGAGAGATAGTTACATCAAAACCAGCAGTAAAATATCTTGGCATCACCATAGACAATAAAATGACCTTCTTGGAACAGATAAAAATGACCGCAGGCAAGGCCGCTAAAGGTATCACAGCACTGAGTAGACTTATAGCCAACACGAGTGGACCCAAGTCAAGTAAACGGCGATTATTGATGTCGACTGTTCAATCGCTTCTTCTATATGGCGCTGAGATTTGGGCAGTAGCTCTATCGAAGGAAAAATATAGAAAACGTTTGGCCCAAGTGCAGAGACAGGCAGCACTCAGAGTAGCTTCATCTTACCGCACAGTTTCCGAACCTGCAGTGCTGGTTATCGCAGGGATAGCACCTATAGCTCTACTTGCCAGAGAACGGTATGCCATATACCAAAGAAAAACCGAATTGAACCAAAAAGAAGTTAAAAAGGAGGAAATCAACAGGACTTATGAAGCATGGCAGAGATTGTGGGAACAGGAGAGTAGGGGTCGCTGGACTGGGCGACTTATTAAATCGGTGAAAACCTGGACACAAAGGGAACACGAGGAAATAAATTATTACTTGACCCAGTTTCTTAGCGGCCACGGCTATTTTTTATCGTATCTTGAAAAAATGAGAAAAGTAACATCACCAGTATGCCTTTACTGCGAAGGTTATGACGACGCAGAACATGCCTTTTTTACATGCGAGAGGTGGAGCGTATACAGAAGGAATATCGAGGAAGAAATTGAAGGACAACTATCCCCTTATAACATCGTCCAAAAAATGCATCAAAGCTCTGAAAACTGGAACCGCATATCAAGGTATGTGGAAAAGATACTAAGGGAAAAGAAAAGCGACCTGGATAACCGCTGATACCATAAACAGAACAAAAAAAAATATACAAAATAAAATATACGTGTTTAAGCGTTTTTCGGAAACTTGTCCGTTTTTTAAATAAAAAATATTGTAATATTTGAGGGGTGGTTTTACCCTCTTGGAACTGGAATTTCGAAAAATCCCTTCTTATCGAACGCTCTACACCCTAGAATCAACCTGTATGCCAAAATTGAGCTTCTTACGTTGAGTGGTTTGAGCAGGATCGTGATTAATCAGTATGTCAGTCACTTAAGGATTTTATATATTAGTATAGATACGAGATTCATACAGTATTGACGATATATTGTCATATGAACATTTTTTCGCGGAAACCAATGATTTACAATTGGATATTTACTCGAAATTACAGGAATACTTTGGCATTGACTCATTACCTAAAATTATTATCGACAGGTTCAGTTAAACCTTCTATCTTGATAAGATAACAAAATATAACGAATAAAACTAATAGGTGGGATTACTTAATAGATCATATATGTTAGGAGTATAGGTTGTGTCGATTTTAGACATCTACAGAACCATCCTGTTTTAATTTGAAGATTTCTTTACTTCTTTTTTCAAGTAAGTACAACATAGTTAGTTATTTTTTTACGTAAAAAATGTCTCTTGGTAAAAATCGCTACGAGCAACCGTTCTCAAGATATTTAGAATGGGAACAGTCAATACATGTCATTATTGACAAAAAATAAACGTGTTGAGTAGATAGTTATTTGACTAAAATGATAAATGGGAACTTATTTTTTTAAATTAATCAAAAATTTTTCTTTGAAAAAATGATGATAAAACAGTTTCTATTGAACTTTTGGCGTCAAAACATTTAAAATTTATGATTTCAGTCTAATAACTATTTAGTCAACATCTTTAATTTATGTCAATGAAGACAGGTATTAATATTTCGATTTCAAATATCTCGAGAACCATTAATCGTAGCGATTTTTACCAAGAGACTTTTTTTAAGTAAAAAAACGTCGTAAATGTGTATTTTTTTACTCAGTAGTTTTATGCAGGTACGGACGAAAAGTTATTACTATGCTCAAATCAGTTAAAAAATATGTAGGTGGCGCCCTCTACAAGCAGGAGTCATATTGACATCAAAATCAAATTTCTCATGTCAAAAAACTCCCAGACACCAATTTTCATCCAAATATTGACGTTACTTCTGAAATTATTTGAAAAAAATACTTTTTTACTTTAAACTTTTTTACTTATTTTTATTTGCGAAATATGCTGCCGAAGATTCCGGAATAACAATTCGGACCACCCTGTATGTAGTTTTTTCTTCTCTTCACTAGTTTCTTCAAGCCATGGCAATCCGCAACAACCAAGACGATTTCGCCCTTCACTGTGGAGGTCCACCTCCTCCACCTCACGGTGGACCCCCGCCACCTGGTGGTGATTGCTGCGACTGCGGATGTGGACCCGGAGGTTGCTGCGGATGTGGCCCTGGTCCAGGGTGCTGTGGACCACCTGGATCATGTGGAGGTCCCGGAGGATGCGTTTGCGTTTGTACGATATTGTAAAGGAGATAAATGGTATTTGTTTTAAGGCTTGTCAGGTTTTAAGTGGTCGAATATATGGATGTGAGGTTATGATGTGTAAATAGATGAAATAAAAACGTGTCTTTTTTTATAAATAATGAAGTTTATTTTTTTACCTTTTTCTATATACCGGGTGCGTCTCAAAAGTGGCTTACCTTTATAACTTTTTTATCTTTTTCAGATAAAAATTGAGATTTGGTATGTTAGCATATAACATAAATTAGGATTAATTGCCGTATTTAGTTGTTTTCAGTCACTTACTTTATTCAATAGAAAATGACACTCTGAATTGAACGACACATCATATGTCAACTTTTGACATTGTCGAATATGGTTTATTTGAAATTGCAACATGCGATTCATAACGACAATTTGACTCGAAATACCAAGTGTGTGGTATTAATACGATTTGGTCATCTCTTAACCGGCCAGGATAAGACACAGTAATATTAGGGAATCAACTCTATTTTTCCAAGGCTCCTTGATTAAAAATTAGTGTTTTTAACCATGGCACTCTAGATTGAAATTAATTTTATCATTATATAATTAGATCATTTTCTATCGAATGAAGTAAGAAATACCGAGGGTGCCATTTAAAAATCAAAAGATGTACTCATTTCCGGTAAAACAGGGAGTGGCCGAAAAGAATTGAATACGTCAATCAATCCTAATTTATGTCATATATCAACATACACAATCTCGATTTTTTATCGGAAAAAATTAAAAAGTTATAGGGGTGAGCCACTTTTGAGACGCACCCGGTATACGTTGAATCACTGATAATAATATACAGGGTTGCTCCTCATATAGGGTGTTCCATTAGAAAAAAACACAACTTTGATGTGAAACTTTTTTTGGGGACACCCCGTATACTCCTATATATTTTTATAAAATGCTTTCAGTTCACCTACATATGCTGCCAACATTTAATTTCGATATAAACTACCGTTCTCCTTGGAGCTTCGGCGGCGTATGAGAGGCGCCACCCTGTATTTCTTTTATCGAGATCAACCAGCCCAAAAAATATTTGCATTTACCTAAGAGTCACCCTGTATAGTATAGAAATTTGTACGGCACCCTCGGTGGGCAAGTACGATTCACACTTGTCCGGTTTTTTTATTTTTCAATACAATCAAAAACATCCTTTCTTCCATTCCCAAGACTGAACAAAAACAGCAAATTACACTTCCTTTCTTCTAACATCAAGCGCAATCCTTTCTTTCACAACGAACCTCCTTTGACATTTGCACGGCCAAATTCGTTCCTATCACCCTTGCCTCCCGCCTTCCCCTCACCTCACCTCCCCCAAGCTCCGAACGATCGACAAGAGTGAAAGTGGTTGGTATTCCCCCCGCGCGCCAAACAACAAGAAGAAAGTCGAGAACCCGCCGAACCCGGCGATTCGCGTCTAGTTGGCCGTGGCGCCTGCCAACCACACACGTTCCTTTGTTTCTTCTTCTTTAAAATTCGGCTCGGCGCGACAAGAACCCGCTTTACGTGATCGCGGAGTGCTTTAGGAACCCCCGTCGACTATAATTAGGATGCTCGATGGATTAGAACTGAGCTAGAGACCTGAAAAGCTTTATCCTGCATCACTAGTGAAGATTTAGTTGAGTTAAATGGGATAAGGGAGCAATATGAACAAGATACACTCCAGTATCCTCGCCGTGGTTCTTAGTATTTTCCTGATACACGCCGCGGATCCACCGTTCGAGTCAACCAGCACGCTACTTCAGTTTTTTCCATTAAAAAACTCGACTCCCGCTCAAAATAAGACTGTTTCCAACCAGGATCAAGTCAAAAACTTATTCATCACTCTCCAGAACATCCAGAAGGAACACGAAACATCTAACGAAACCAATAGAAGAGTTTATAATACCGTCCAAGACTTTTTAACTCAGTCTGATAAAAACATCCACGAAATAACGTTAGAAAATGATTTCGTCAGGCCATTATTGACTCAGTATCAGAGAGAAATCCATGAGGAACCTAGCTACGAGGCTGTTCAGAATTCTGGAAGGATTTCCAAAGAGGATTACGTGGATTCGTTCAAAATTCTTTCCAAAGAGGAGATAGACGCTTTGATTCATGGATATGATAAGTACCAGAACAATCACGCTCAGTTTGTGGATCAAACAGGGAATGGAGTGGTTAATGGAGAATACGGTGATGCAAACGTGGATTTAACATCACCCAATCATCAGGAGTCTGTTGCGTATAGTAATGGAAATAATGCAGAAAGCCCACAAAAAGAAAATAATAAACCAGTTGGTGATTTGCATCCACCACCAAGCAACGGACAAGGGTATAGTTCTTTGAGTCTAGATTCTACACAGGGTGATAATAATGCTTATAGTAATGATAATTATCAGCAAGAAGGTGGAAGTTTGCGTCCACCACCCATAAATGGCAAGGAATATGTATCTTTGAACAAGAATTCTGATGTGAACGATCAAAAAAGGTACAATGGTATTGAGCAAGTTGGTGGGATTGATGGATTACCGTTAGAGGGTGATGTAAAACGGAGTGATAAATCAACTGAAAATATCAAAGAAATTAGTGTGGAAAATACAATTAAAGACACTGCCATAAGGAGGGATGATTCTTCTGGTGAAAGTAACGAAAACGAGCATATAGGAGAGATTTTGCCGCCTGATTTCAAAATTAAAACGTCCAAAAATGACGAATATAAACCCTCATCTATTAGAAGGAGTCTTTATCCTCTTTTTCAACATCAAACCAGGAAATCTTACAACTACGATGAAGGTTTTCAACCAAGAAACCCTGTAGCATTTCCTCTGGACAAATACCGATCAGAATACGACCCTACAACAGCCATATCAGCTGAAGGATTCGACCCAAGCACTTTTCCTGTTCAGACTGTATTTCCTGGTCAAGACCAAGCCTACCAAAGGGCAAGGTTCAACGAGATCTCGCCCTACAGGTACCCAAGACGATTGAGACCCTTCGAAACGACACCAAGTGGGTTTCAGCCTGTTAGGAGCGAAGTTCCTCGGAGGGAACCGTACTTCGACCCTTCGGCAAGGTACCAGACTTGGTCAGGGTCCTCTAGGCGGCCGAGGGTGATATTTCCCAGTGATTTAGTTCAGTTTAGGGAGCCGGTGAATCAGGGGGTGTCCGAGGAGACTCCCGAGTGGTTGCTGGGGGATGGAAACCTGCAGGATTTGGAGGGAGGCGAAGACAGAGATAGGGGTAAGCTTGAATGGCAATGAATGTCTAATCATTTTAGGTGTAGTATAGAATTTGAATGTTTGATCAGAATTTATAAGTAGTTTTATTTGAGATTTTGGTTTTAATCATTTTTGTTTCGTCAAGTTTTAAGTATTATATTTTTTTTCTTTTAGCCTTATTTTCATGAAATTTTCAGCAAACTGTAAATAAATCCCATGATCCATGATTAATATAGGCAAGGCTGATCCATGATTAATATAGGCATCCATGATTAATATAAGCATAAATCTATCAACTAATTTACAAACTCAATTTTTTATAATCTTTAGTATTTGGCTTATCACACGGGGTTAATTGAAGGGTGGTTTTTATTTAACTTTAACAAAAATACAAAAACACAAACACGTTGTGCAATAATTTCGTGAGTAATTTAGCCTAAAACATTATTTTTCATTATTTAATCAAATAGCGCTAAAAATAATAAAATAAACATCTTAAACTTCGCCAAAAACAAAATATTAGAAAATCTAGCCTAAAAAAATGGTCTTCTTTCAAAAAACATTCGGGAGAAATTATGACATTATTAAACAGACATTTTATGACATTGAGCGAAATTTGGTACACCCTGTATATGCATTCCAAAACTTATAAAAACTCATTCATTCAATAACATTTAGGTTACGATAATTAATAATCATATTATATAGAATTTCCTAATGCTTATTTTACGTAGTTTCAAAATTTTTACATCCTGTAGATTAAAATTTACGCAAATTTCTTTAATGATGAGCTTTCGATATTGTTCGCCTAATCATTTGATTGCAAATATGGTTAAAATGGGGTCAGTCGGACTTTTTGGGCTTTTTTTTTCGTTTGTCTGATACAACATATGTTGAGTGATGTAAACTTCAACGTCATGGAATTTCGTATTATTTCGTTTATGGAAATATGAATAGTATTTAATTTAATATGAGTCAAAATAGTCTGTATTCACTGGAAAAAAAATCATTAAAATAATATGATATAATACCGTTGATTGAAAAAATTATGATGTAGCCATCCTCGAATGTTTAAATACTCTTTGAAAAAATTTAAACTCTCTTTGCGGTTCATAAGATAGACCTTTGTAACACACAATAGTAGCTTTACTCCTTGTCAAATCATTTGTTCTTTTTCTGTCACTTTATATCACCTTGTTCTCGCGTCCCGTGACCACTGACGTAGCTGTATAGTCGTGGTCTATAACTAGGCATAGTATAGTCGTGGCACTCGCCATAGTTTCACAGAGATGTATTTAGGAAAATATGATTTCCCAATAAAATAAAATAAAAAAAATGATCACCAAGTAAAAATTTGTTTGAAAACAGAATATTTTTACATTTTGTGTAAGTAACAATTCTTCTGTATCTGAAAATCTTCTGATGGGAAGAAATGCGGAAAAAATATATAATGACATATTTTTATATTATTATCTATTTCAAAGATTTTCTACAACTTTTTTTTTTAAATTTAAAACAAGTTTATTTTTAACATTAATGTGTTTGTTTTGTAGTAATATATTGCTTAGGTGATTTTCATTGGATAACTAATACATTGTCAATCCGTCTCTGTGCTGAGACGCAACGCTCGAACCTCGCAGGTCGACGGACGGAACTCAACTGAAACGCCCTGCAATCTGCCGATATTCGACAGATTGTAAAAACTGGTAGAAAATATTTGGGAGAGTGCAACTACTCTTTTCCTTCTACTATGGTATTATGCTGTAATTTTTGTGGTCCATCTGTTGTCCGTTCTTCTTGTTAGGTGAATGTCCTTTTGCCATTTGAGGGATTCGACTTTGTGTCATGACTGACAGACATTTATATTTTTTTTTTTAGGACAGACATTTTTTTTAGACATATATGTAATAATAGGTAGATCAAAATGTCATCGATTGTCATTTCCAAACCAACTGTGATGCCGGACACGTTCAGAAACATAACTTTCAAATAAATTAATCTTCGAAGTTAAATCACAGAAATCACATGGGTATCAGGTGTTGTATCACCTTCCTCTTGTTATTTAATTAATAATTATACAAACATAATTGTTTTTAAATAACAAAATTGGATTAACTACCAATTTGCATAATAAAATCCGTGCTTACAAATTGTTATTAATAATGGCGGTATAATTGAGAAGTATTTAATAATAAACAATAATTTTTCTTTTAATAAATACCAATTTAATATCCCTAAAGATTTTATGTTAACTGTTTAGTTAACTTTAGTTAATAATGTTTGAGTACAATTAATAAAAAATATATCAATTATTAAGTATTATTATGATTACGAATGTTGGTATTGTTTATACTATCCATACAATGATTTTAATTTTTGGCTCAATATGCTAATGTTGGTACACATACTGCTTGGTTATTCGACTGATCTTTTCTGATGTTCCCTTCAAATATAGAAACTTCAAGAGACACAGAAGAACATTAAGTCAATCTTACAATTATTGAATATAATCTTGTCAAGGGACTTCGCAGAGTAACCATAATGAAACAAATCCGTTTTAATATTACTTAGTTTAGAATTAAGGTATTCTTGGTCACTGCACCAAATCACCAGGTCCCTGCAGTGGCAAAATCACCGGGTCCCTGCAGTGACTGTATTTTCTTTGCCTCATTTGTTTACCTTCTCTAGGCATTCTTTGACCAACTTCGAATTGGTTACTGAGTTACTGAGTTGATCGGTTTTAGTGCTGTTTTTCGATAGTTCCTATCTAAGATAAATTGTACTCATCTTTCGATAGCCTAGCTTGGAGGATGCCGATTGGTTTGGAGTATTTAGTTTACCTGCCGAGCAAAGGTTTCTCTCTTCCAATCCTTTTTATTGCTCAATTCGATATATGACAGGAACATTTATTTAAATGCTATAAACATATTTAATCTACGACAATGTCATTATGCAATTTTAAAATAAGAAACAACAAACAACAACACAAAAAAAGGTACCTAAATACGTTTATTTATTGTAAACATTAATTATAATATCAGTACAATTAGTTAAATTAATTCCAGACGATGACAGGTGAGTTGAATTTTTAGACACTAAATTTATTTCCTGAGTGCCTGAACTTGTTGAAGACCCATCATTGCCAGAAATGTTACCCAAAATATTACATGACACTTTTTTCTTATTTTCTTTGTAATTTTCTATATAGCTCTCTGCTGTGCTGTGTTGGAGCGCCAACCATCATGTCTTTTAACAGTTAATAAATCCACTCCTGAATCTGCAAGCAACGACGCATCTACGGAAACAATGTCCAGTGTATTGTTGTGGATTTGGAAGACTTAGGAACAATGCTATTTTATACGGCATTTTCCCTAAAGTATTAATGCAAACGGGTTGCTTAATACGTTTTCCATTTCTGTACCCCACAAAAAATCGAGTATGCTCTGTGTTCCTTGGCCGCATAGCTATACATCTTCGAACCATTTCCACCATATTTATTCCTTCAAAATTCCCTTTCGTTATAAAAAAATCTCGTGATACCTTTGTTTTCGTAAATGGAATAATGACATGAATGCATTGTCCTTCATCTTTAACATTTTGCAGCTGCAGATTTGTCAACTCGATACGCCGGCAGGCTCCCGCAAGTCCCACTATCAATGAAACTTTTGTCAGGAAATAAGTTTTATCATCGGCTTCCAACAAAAACGAGTTATGTCTTCTTTTCTTAAAATTCTCGATTTTTTTGACCGAAATCCTTCCGATTTTCTTTTTAGAAATGCAATTAAATGGACGTACTTACTAATATCTGTCTTTTTCTTCACTGATATAACTGAACGTAGCATGGAATAATATACCCAAAGTGATGAAGTCTTCCTATGTTTTGAGAGATGTTCAAAATATGCCAGGAGAACCTTTTCGTTACTACTATTCTTGATTCCTTTCCCTTTACACCAATCTTCAAGTTTTACATGGGCTTGCTCGTACGTTTGTCTTGATTTTTCGGGAAGTGGGGAATCGACAACGTTTTGCGCAATGCCTTCAATATCAGAAGGGACACTTTCAGAATCAGAATCACCCATATTAATATTATTTTTTGCTTTTTGTTAAAACTGAACGTTTAACACAAAACTGAACATCAATAATTGAGTTGTCAAAGTCAAAATGGAAACAATCAACAAGCACGGTTACCACGGCGTCGACTAGTATGGGCACCTGATAATTTTGAATTTTAATTTTTATGAGAATATGTCTGATATTTTAAATTAAATCAAATCTCTTTGGATCGTCCCTCGTGTCGCGTCGTAGATTAAATTTTGAATGATACACGTTGGATACGAACTTTTTAATGAAGTTTGTGTAACTAAGCCGTAACGTTACACGCGTTTCATTATGATGTTCGTATCGAACTTGTATCAAATAACTATTCTATGCTTAAATAAAAATATGAATTCATACCGAGACCCTCTTTTGAGATATTAAATACTTCTTTGACACTGTTCACAAGCGATTTTAATAATAGAAATTTACATACTCGTTAATTTTTTATACTCGTAATTTTCCTTCTATTATACTTCTTATAATAGGTACCCGCTTTCGATCGGTACCATTCTGGTACCCAAATATGTAGGCGGCGGTACAGCGTTTTCGATGTCTTGTTCCGGGTAAGTGCATACATCTTCATGGCGGGTACCCGAGAGCAGACAATACGGATTGAGTGAAAGTAAAGCTTTAAAATAGGCGATGATGCATAGCAGTACGGACTGCCGGTATTTAACCAGCACAGTCTCTTTCTTTCGTGGAGGGTACTTTCGGTTTTTATATCGGTGTAATGAAATAAAAAAATTAGGTATATGTTTTATACCTAAAATTAATAGTTTATGTAATATTTCAATTTGTTTAAACAAATGTTAGATTGGCAGTGTGATAAAAAATTGCCAGTGATGGTATTGTTTCTGAAGTTGGAAAACTAAAATTTGGTAGGAGAATTTTATAGAGATAAAGAAAAATACCTATGTAAAGATATTTTAGTTATATGCTACAGGGTGTTCAAAATATATTTATGAATTTCCTACTACTTAAAATTAAGAAATTTCAAATTTTTTAAATGGTATTATATATATTATCACTTTTTCTATGTATTATCATATATTTCTATATATTACCTATATATTATCACTTTTTCTGATAGATTTTACAAAACTCTTCAACTTTTATTAAGTATGTCATATACCTATTTTTAATAGTTTGCGATTTATTCCAATTTTTTCAATTTTTACCCATATTTTTAACACAATTACCCTATAACATCATATGTAGTTGCCATGACAAAAAGTAATAATTATTAAAATTTCTTGTATGTTAAGCAAGTTAAGAACAAGATTTGAATTTTAGTTTAATTTGTTGTAATAAGTATAAATTGTAGAGATAATACTTAGTTACAGATTTTCCTGAAATTAATTAGTCAATGTGACTGATATACACGAACAAGCCAAAAAAATAAATTTTTTGGTTCAGTACTATATATATTATATAGTACCCTATAGCACTTTGCTAAGTAGTATAAGAATAGATGTAGATTATCTAGAAAACATCTTCAGTGTGTAATGGGACGTTTTCGCGGTAGTAGTAAAATTGGCTTTACCAAATGAATTATAAACCAGAATTACTACGAGAAAAAAACTTTACTGTATGTCGAAGAAAATTCCCTATATCAGTAGTCTTCAACAATTAGGTAATCTAGTATTACCCTAATCTGGGGCTATTCGCCCTGACGGAAAATCCAAGTGTCATCTTTCATACACCAAGAAATTCACGACTGCGATTTTAGTTTATTTGAGTAAAGTTAATTAATTTTAACTAATACCAGCAATTGTAACTAATTATTAAGCTACTTGTTAAAGATAAGTAATAAATAGTTTGTTTTGTCATGGCAACTATGATTTTATAGGGTAATTGTATTAAAAATATGGGTAAAAATAGAAAAAATTGGAATAAATCGCAAACTATTAAAAATAAGTATATAACATACTTAATAAAAGTTGAAGAGTTTTATAAAATCTATCAGAAAAAATGACAATATATAGGGTGTCCCATTTAAAAAAATTAACATTTTTTAATTTTAAGTAGTTGAAATAAATTTTGAACACCCTGTATTATTTAACTAAGATATCTTTATATATATCTTCTTGTTCATCTCTATAAAACTCTCCTACTAAATTTTGGTACTCCAACTTCAGAAACAATGGCATCACTGTGACAATGTTTTACCACACTGAAATTTAACATTTGTTTAAACAAATTAAAATATTACAAGAACTATTAATTTTAGGTATATAACATTATATATAAAAAAATTATGGAATTTTACGCAGAATCTAAAAATAAAATAAAAAATAGGGTGTTATATCCGGCACACTTTTTTGAAGCACCTTGTATACTCTATAATAATTTTAAAATGTGTAACTTAACCTTCTCTATAACCTTTATATTTAATTTTTGTTTGTAAACCTCGAAACAAATGAGATAATGGAATTTACTCTATCGTTGACTCACCCTGTATACCAAGGTATTATTACAGTTGAGGGTTGGAACCTTTGGTTTTTTACAGGGCGAGTTTCCTACGATGTTCATGGGTATCTCGGAAACTACTGGAGATAGAGAGTCGGTTAAACGAGGAAAGAATTGCAGTTTTGTGAGGTCATAAATATGCGCCTTTCAGATTTTTGAAAAAGTTCATGGCTTACTAGACATTTCGAAAAAAACAGAATTCGGCTATTTTAAAAATCGTCCCTAATTCCATTATAATCTATTTTAGGTAAAAAGTTTTCAGATAAAAGTTGTAGATAATCACATACCTAATGAGTTTGTGTTTTCCGATTTTTTCTAAAATCTGTCATTTTTGACATATGACACAAATATATGTTTTTTTTCAATGGAACCCATAGTTGGCCATGAAAAAAAAACGACAAATAGAAAAACCTCGTATCTCAAAGAGAAAGAATAGCAAAATATCGTAAGTCGCAACTTAATATACAGGGTCGCTGATATGTATGAGAACGGTCGATTATTAGGTAAAATATACGAGGTACCGCAAAAAAGTTAAATACAAAAGTTATAGGGTTTTTAAATGTCTATTAGTGAATATAGTGATAAATTTAAGTATACAGGGTCGGTAATAAAGTCGTGGCACATCAAAGACACACCCTATACGGGGTGCTACAAATTCGAGGTACGAGCATTGGTATCTCGGAAACCGTAATAGATACGAAGATAGTTAAATTGGGGCAAAGTTGCGCCTTGGGATGTTCACCAAGATGCTATCAAAAAAGTTTTTAAAATTTCAAGGATTGCTGAGTTTTTTGAAAAAAAAAACGAATTTTTTTGAAAATCAATTTTTTTTTCCTGTCGTTACTTTTTAGAAAATCAAAAAACTAATTGCATATTCTCATAGCCACTTTATTAGGGCTATCTGACAGTATATTTAGATTTTCAAATTAGCTGATAATTTGTGAGATACAGAGGCCGACTTCATTTTTTTAAATACGGACCTGCATTTTTTATTTCAGTTTTTGAAAGAACTCGGTTTCCTGAGTACAACGATATGCCACACTTTATATTTTTTTTTGGTTTTGGGTACCTTAACAACAACAAAACTATTTAATTATTATTTATAATATTTTCAAGTCCGACCCTGGTTTCTTAAAATATTTAATCTGATTATATTCATTGCAACAATGTTGATCAGCGCTAATTAACATTGAATTAGGAAAATCGAGCCAATTGAAAGATTGAAATAAATAATATCCAGCTTAGCAATTTAAAGATATTATTTTTAAGTTTTTTTATTGTGAATTTGAAATTCTCAGTGTACGATTTAACAATATGTAAGTAATACATAAGTAATGCAATTATTTTTTTTTATTGAATTTGATTTTTCCTATTCAATGTTTTACCCCACGTCATAGTTAAATTTGAAGGCTTATCAATAATGTAAACTATCAATATTGTAACGATGAATAATTTAAATATTTAAGAAACAGAGCCGGATTTGAAATTAGTTTAAATAAATTTTGTGTTTAAATGTCCGAAACAAAAAGAAGTATAAAGTGTGGCACATCATTGTACTCAGGAGACCGAGTTCTTTAAAAATATGAAATAAAAAATGCAGGTCCGTATTTAAGAAAATTAAGTCGGCCTCTGTATCTCACAAATTATCAGCTAATTTGAAAATCTAAAAATACTATCAGATAGCCCTAATAAACTGGCTATGAGAATGTGCAATTAGTTTTTTGATTTTTTAAAAACTAACGATAGGAAAAAAAAAATTTTCAAAAAAATCCGTTTTTTCCAAAAAACTCAGCAATCCTTGAAATTTTTAAAACTTTTTTGATGGCATTTTGGTGAACATCCCAAGGCGGCAACTTTGCCCCAATTTAATCATCTTCGTATCTATTACGGTTACCGAGATACCAATGCTCGTACCTCGAATTTGTAGCACCCTGTATATAAAATACACTTTATCCAGCTCTTTGTGGCAGGTGACAGCGGCAAGTGCGCCAGGGGCGCCACCTGCGAGTTCTTCCTCTCCTGCTGGATCTCCGGCGGTCTGGTGGACACGCCCTGCGGCGGCCTCCTCAGAGGCTGTTGCTTCAGGGGCGTGTCGAAGGCGGGGCTGCTTGCCCTCGGCCAATCGGTGGGCACGATCGAGGCCCCGCCCGACGGACCGCGCAGCCGCGAGGTGGCACTATTCGACGACTTTCGTAAGTTTTTCTGTTTTGCCCAAGTGTGTGACGTCACATCAGTGGGCGACCAGAGCTTAAAAACCTTTCCAAACACAACCGTAGATGCTCGTAAAATTAGGTAGAAGATTTTGAGTATAAATTTCAAGTCTGCGGCGAATCCATTTTGGAATAAGTAAAATTACATTTGAATTAGTTATGTTCTCAAGAAAATGTATTCAATTTGTAGCCAAATCAGTGGTATTGAGTATGTTATTGTGTGAATAGGTACTTATGTGTAGTGCCGCATTATTTGGAAAGGTTGTTAAGCTCCGCTCGTTGACGTGACTTATCAACTTAGACTGCCTATTAGCCCAATAACTTTAGAGATCTCTCATAAATATTAGAAAGGGAGCCAAAGTGAGTTATTTTTTAACTTACATCTCTTTATGCCTTAGAGGCTAGCCAACATCTAACTTGTGTGGCACATCGTTGAAAAGCTCGTCGTTTTCTTTGTACAGTTTGATACCAAGGTCTTAAATAGTTCAGTTTAAAAAAAAAATCAAAATGCCTGCAAATTTTTATAAAATATTGAATATTATCTAAAATTATTGGGCTATACCGATGTATTACAAGCATGATTTCCCTTTTGTAGTTTGTTTTTTGGGTTTGTTATCATATATTTTATCTAAATTATTGTAAATATCTCAATTTTTCTGTTTGGTTAGAACTTTGTGTCTATCTCTGTTATGTGTGTAGTGTATATCCTCATTAATAAACCTAAAATTTCTCTCTTTTTAGTTATAAAAATGAAATAAAAATTGAATATCTAATAAAAAAAAGGGAAAGATGCTTGTCTAACAAAACAGAAAAACATTACTAATGTCTATCTTTCTTATCCTTCTTTTAATTATACACGTAGATGTAATATAAAACGTATAATATGTATATATTATTTGGTATTAAAACACAGTGGCATTCAAAGCATTAAATGCAGTGTGCATTCACCAATTAAGAGAATCCTCAAATGCCCCTGATTTAACTAGTTTGGACTTTTTTTATGGGGATATACGTATGTTATTGACGTTGTTTACAAAACTCCACCCAGTATACTGTATACTGTATACGTACTGTCAACGACTGAAAAATATATAGAATTATACAGGGTGTCCCGAAAAAAAGTTACACATCAAAGTTGCGCTTTTTCTAATGGAACGCCCTATATATTAATTGATTTTCGGATTCTAGAAAAAAAAATAAAGATAAATTTTATTAAAGACGCATATACCTAAAATCTAAAGATTTTGACATATTTCACATTTTGTGAAAATGATGAGTAAATTTTAAATTTAGATAACAGCTACCGAAATTTTAGTTGACCTTTAACCAAATTGAAATTTGACCCGAAAAGTTATACAGGGCGAGACAAAATTAATATGGAACATTAGTCACTTTTAAAAGCAAGTTACTCCTTTATTTTAAATGGAACACTCAGTATATTTTTCCGGTGTTCAATGGGGAATTTATATATCTTCAAAATAATATTAAGGTTGCCTGCCCCTCAGACAAAGATTTTCCTAGATATGTTAATTTTTATGATTTTGCGTCAGTAGATCTTTATTATTTGAAAAAATCTAGGTGGCTGTGTGATATACCTTATGTTAATTTAACAAAAATTAAAGATTGAAGAGTAAAATACTCAACGGTAATAAAAAGATCCTAAGAAAAGACACACAATCCTAAGAAACGATAACAACGAGATAATTCTAGGAGTAAAGGCTAAGCTTGTGAGATGGAAAGAATATATCGAAACACTTTTTAATGATGACAGACCCTGTTCCCCACCACCGATAGATCACATACTGAATGAAAAGGCTCCAGCAATATCCAAAGACGAAGTTGTTCATGCAATAAAAGCGCAGAAAAGCGGAAAAGCTACCGGTCCCGATAAAATAAACGTTGAAATATACTTAAACTCATTGCAGATAACGAAAGCAGAAGTCTAGATTTGGTGAGAGCATTATTTAACAAATTATATAACTCAAGCAAAATACCGTCAGATTGGCTTAAATCAACATTCGTAACCCTGCCAAAGAAACCCAACGCCTCACAATGTGATGACTATCGGATGATAAGTCTTATGTCCCATGTCCTCAAAACCTTTCTTAGAATCATCCACACTCGAATCTACAAGAAGTGCGAAAATCAGATGGACAACATCCAGTTTGGCTTCAGAAACGGACTCGGAACGCGTGAAGCACTCTTCTCCCTAAATGTAATGACACAGAGGTGTAGAGACATGAATGTGAATGTATTTGCATGCTGCATAGACTATCGTAAGGCGTTCGACTGTGTTAATCATCAGAAGATGGTCAAATTTCTAAGAACAACCGGAGTTGACGAACAATACCTACGTTTCATATCAGAACTTTATTGGCATCAAACGGCGGTAGTTGAGATGAAGCAGTCAACATCGGAAGATATACAAATCAGACGGGGTGTTCGGCAGGGTTGCGTCTTGTCTCCGCCCCTGTTTAACCTGTACTCGGAGACTATATTTAGAGAAGCACTGGATCGAATCCAGGGCGGAATCAAGTTCAATGGAATCCCAATAAACAATATCAGATATGCCGATGATACGGTTTAATAGCCAACGATATACAAGAACTGCAAAGCATTATAGATTCCGTAGTCCACTATCGTGAGATGTTTGGACTGCATCTCAATGTCTCCAAGACCAAAGAGTCTTTTCTAAGACTCCAATAAATGCACACCTGCGTGTCAAGGGACAAACAATCGAACAAGTAACCTCAATAAAGTATTTAGGAGCTAACATCAATAGTCAGTGCGACCCGAAAAGAGAAATATTTTCAAGAATTGAGCAAGCGAGAAAAATCTTCGTGAGAATGAAATAATTTTTACAAGAAGAGACCTCAGTGCGGATCTCAGAACTCGAATGGCCAGATGCTACGTCTTCTCTGTGTTACTCTATGGATGTGAGAGCCGGACACTGGATTCACAGACCGAGAAGAGAATAGAAGCCTTCGAAATGTATGAATACAGACGGATGCTGCGAATTCATGGGTACAAAGGATCACCAACAATGAAGTACTCCAGCGCATGCAGAAACAAAAAGAGATACTGAACACCATCAAGGAAAGAAAAATGCAATACCTGGGTCATGTGATGAGAGGTGCTAGATATGAAATACTGCGCCGCATAATAGAGGGCAAAGTGCAAGGGAAAAGATCAGTAGGAAGAGGCCAGAACTCATGGCTAAAAGATTTGTGAAGATGGTTTGAACGCTCGTCTGCGGAAATCTTCCGGGCTGCAGTTTCCAGAGCCACAATTGCCATTTGGATCGCCAACCTTCGGCAGGAGATTGCGCGATAAGAAGAAGAATAAAAAGATACACGTTTAAAACATATTTTAATTATTACAGAATTAAAACTAGATATAAACCTATAATTATGTGACAAAAATTAGCTAGATGAAATCAAATGCTGAAAATGCTTCCTTTCCTGTTAACCGCATAAAATGATTATCTTTTCAAAAGGATATTTTCATCTACGTGGTTCTACCTCGAAGAGCAGCCACAAAAATTTCACTCATGTTGCCGACAATAGTTGGTCGAGTTTTGTAAACACTGTCTTTAACATATCCTCAAAAAAACCATACTGGATAAAATCAGGAGCATTTACGTATTCTATTAATTGGTGAATGCACACTGCATTCACTTTTTTTTTCAACTAATCGAATCATATCAATTCTCTCTGATGTACAATAAGTTTGCATTTTCGGCAAATTTCTGAGAATTTTTTTTTGTTTTAACTGACACAAAATAATAACTATAGTTCTTAAAGTTGGACTAATTAGACAGGTATGTTGAAGTAACGTCAGATATATCATAGCCACCTAGATTTTATCAAATAATAAAGATCTACTCAGATCAAATCATGTAAGTGAAAATATCTAGGAAGATCTTTGTTTGAGGGGTAGGCAACCTTAATAGTATTTTGATGGGACATGAATTCTCCATTGAATATCGGAATAATGTACTGGGTGTTCCATTTAAAATAAAAGAGTAAAATCCTTTTAAAGGTGACCAATGTTCAATATTAATTTTGTCTCACCCTGTATAACTTTTTCGATCAAGTTTTAATTTGATTTAAAGTACAATAGTTAATTTAACTACGTATTAGGCTATACTGGGTGAATTCCAATCTTAGACTTTTAGAACTTTAGAAAATGTTAAATATGTCAAAAACCTTACATTTTAGTCATATACTTCTCTTATAATCTCACCTTTTTTTTTCCGAGAATCCGAAAATCAATTAATATATAGGGTGTTCCATTAAAAAAACACAACTTTGATATGTACTTTTTGGGGGACACCCTGTAGAACTCTCTATATTTTTAAAAAGTACTCTGAATTAACCTATATATGCTCACAAAATTTCATTTCAATACAAACTGTCATTCTCTCCTTGGAGCCTCCGCGGCGCACAGTGCTTCGAACATATGGCTCTAGAGGACAAAAATCCAAAACTTCTCTTTTATTGTAAGCAATTTATTCAAACTAGGTTTATTTGACACAAATGATGAGTACTCTCATTGTACTAAATGATGATCTTCTTAGTCTCACGTTTATGAGAAAAAAATCTTATAAATAATAATAATGTTGGAGCTGTGTTCCATCTAAGCAAATAATAAGTTATAGCACAGAATATCTAGCTACGCAAGCTAGATATTCTGTGGTTATAGTATGAAAACGGTGTAAGTATTAAATAAATTCCTGTGATAAAAAAGAATTGAAATAACATTAGAACATGATTCCTACAATATAAGCCTAATATAAGATAAAAATGTTTTTCTTTAATGAAAAAGAAATATTAATGTTATATTTAATTAAAAAAAACTTAAGATACTGTAAATTTACTTTAGGACAACAAAATGCATAGATCGTAACTACTCTGATTCAGGAGAATCACTGCTGACAGAATCTTCCAAATTTATAGTATCCAAATCACAGGTAGATGAACTATCCTCACATATAAGATATTTCTGTACATCATTTTCTAATATGTTACTTTTTCGCGTTGTTACTGTTCATTTTGTCGGTATGAGGGGTTCGGATGTTAATAGTTACCTCTTTAATAGACTATATTCATATATTATTTTTTCCTTTTCTTGTGCATGAGATTTTATAATAAATTGAAAGATGGACACTTTTTTTATGCGACGTTTCGCTTCAACATAGTGGACTTTTTTTTCAGGCTACAAGTGGTGTCTCATTTGACTGGAAGGTTCATCAATATCTAATAAGAACATATTTTTGAAATACAAATAATTTTGAGTTCTTGTCCTTATGATCAAGCCAAGTATTAGCCAGATCGGCATTGCTTATCAATTTTACTCCATCTGAAAAGTATTATAAAATAAAGTTCGTCGCAAGCAGACGCAGGTGAACTATACAAAAATTAAAAGTGTATGAATATGGCAACAAAAATATTCAATAAATACGATAGGGTTTTGATACGTTTTTTTAAATGCCTTTTGAAGTTTGAAAACGTAAAATTTTTATACCCATTTAAGAATCATCTTAAAAAAATAAATAAAACTAAACAATCACGAACTTGTTTAGAAATAAATTTAAAGTACATACCTTGTTTAACAATATCCATAGTGGCTTTCAATTAAGTACGTACCCGTTTAACTCCATAATATACAGAACTACTATGAATGTTATTCTTTTCACTGATGAGATAATGATCGCAAAATTTATTTTTAGTGAAAATATTTGCTAACAAAAACGCTGTTTATGAAAAATAATATACAGGATGGTTGAACATTGCTATAAGTATAAAATTATATATTCAGATATTAGTAAATTTTAACTTATTTTTTGATTTTTGTGCATGGGATGAAGCACTGTGCGGCGTATGAGAGGCGCCACCCTGTATATACTGTGATAAAACAGTTTAATGTGTGTGACTAGTCTAACTTCTATTCTTCCTAGTCTCTGGACTTGGTATTGCGCAGCATTATTTAGTATTAGGCATAAAGAATTAATATGGCAGATAAAAAAAGGCATAACAAATTTTTCGTTATTTTTAAGTTGGTGAAAGATACTCAAGAATTTACTTTACGAAAAACTATGCGCATCGAAGAAAGTAGCCATAAAGCTGTAGCCAATGAACTGTTAAATGTAGAACGGTAGAACGTTGATAAGCATGAAAAAAGCGCAATAACCTCGCAATTGCTTGTTCAACTAATCGCATGTATCTATCTAGTAACCTTGACTTTCGATTGTTTTAGTTAGTTTAGCTGTATATTTTTATTGAGTTTACTTTTAAAACAATCGACTGACCAATTCATGGGTATCTGTTATTATTTTTTTCGGTAATTCAAGAATTTTAGAAGTCAATATTAACCGAATGAATATATATATTTTTTAAATTGATAATTGGCTAGTTTAAATTAAATTGCTTCTTGAATGGTGTCTTTGTTTTTCAGGTTGTGGTATACCGGCCAAACAGCAAGCCCAAAGAAGGATTGTCGGAGGAGACGAAGCTGGCTTTGGAACGTTTCCATGGCAAGCCTATATTCGAATAGGTTCTTCCAGGTACAATATGACATTAGTATACAGGATGTGAATAAATGAATGCGAAAGCATTTAAGCGGTTATTGCTTCTTAAAAATAATTTGCGTTTTTCATACAAATATTTCTGATGACGGTTTAATACTTTTGTGTGTACAGGGTGTCCCATTTTAGTTGAAATCATACGGTATCTCCGTTATTAATGAAGATAGAAGGGTGCGGTTTGGACAAACCTGTCCCACTTTTTTGTAAAACGGAAGATGCTGTAAACACAATTTTCATAGCCCTCTTCGTTTCTGAGCTACAGAGTCTTTTCGAAAATTTTGCAATTTGAGACACCCCCTGTATCTCTGTTATTGTTAAAGACATCGAGAAGATAAAAACTGTTTATTGTAGAATTTTTTACGGTAGAATACAGTGGCGTAGTCTGTAATTCTACGAAAAGAATACTTTTAAACATACGAACTTAAGTTATGTTTTCCTAAATGGAACACCCTGTAAATTATATGATCTGGCTTGCCATAAGCTTCTCAAAAATATATGTATCACTCTATATCTATTTTCACTATGTACTGCAATATTTAAAAGTTTTTATTAAAAGGTCATATTTATTAGTAGGCCATGAGCGGAAAATAATACAGGGTGGCCCATCGAAAACGTCCTGCAAGGCATAACGGCCAGAATATTTTTTTTGCAGAAAATTCAAAAACACGTCAATTTTGTTTGTGAGGGGGACAACTTTTGCCCCAAAAATGATTGCAAAATCTTCAACCCTCTAAACGGGGGCGTCATCCCTTGATTTGTTTCAAATGGGTAGGGGGGCAAGGGGTACCGCAATGAAAAGGGCTTTCTATTCTCTATACTTTCCTGCTTCATTTTTGAAGATCGGTCGAGTCGTTGGGAAAATATGAAAGATTGAAATTTGAAAAGTTTTTTAAACATTTATCAGAGTAAATGATAAGGATAAATTCCTTCGACCAATTTGCTGTTTTTTCTTATTATTTCTAGATGTTTGCAATCGGGTTGCGCAGATATTCAATGAACGCCATCCTGACAAACACCTTTATGGCAAAATTGTTCGCCAGTTAGTAGCAAAATTTCGCGAAACTGGTTCCGTCATGAATAAAAAGAGGCAGAGGGAAAATCCTGTAGTAAATGAAGCTATGGAGGTATTCGTATTGGGCCAAGTTGCCATGGACAGTATTCTGAGTACAAGAGAATTGGCCAATGAGACCGGCGGGAATCGTACAAGTTTCCAAAGGATATTAAAAAAACACCACCAAGTTCCACCCGTACAAGTTCCACCCGTACAAAATTCAGTTGGTACAAGAACTCAACGAAGACGATTTTGAGTTGTGAAACTATGAGTGAACGAGTGGCGAATGATAATAATTTCCTATTTAATGTGTGTTTTTCGGATGAGTGTACTTTCTTTTTGAACGGTGTAGTTAATCGGCACAACTGGTCGGTACTGGGCCGAGGACAACCCCCAGGGTTTTTCACGAGGTGCACACACAAAACCCTCAGAAATTGAACGCGTGGGCTGGTATTTTTGGAAATTCTATTGTGGGTCAGTTTAACGATATTGCGAAGAACTTCAACGTACAAGTCACAGAACAGCTATCTAGCAACTACCGCACCTGATCGTTCAACGTTGTGGCAAGTGAAAAAATGCGTAAACATCTAGGAATAATAGAAAAAACATCAAATTGGTCGAATTTATCCTTAATTATAATTTACTCTGATAAATGCTTAAATAAACTTTTCAAATTTCAATCCTTCATATTTTCTCAATGACTCGACCGATTATCAACAACGAAGCGGGGAAATAATAATAATAATTATCATAATAACTTTATTGCCTAACAGGTATTTACCCATACAAAAGACAATTTAGACATATTAATATAAAATACAGTAATAATTAATAAAATATAAAAAAATACAGAAAATAAGTGTATATATGTGAAACAAAAGATAGATGAAAAAATAGATAACAATTAACGTTTGAAGAAATGAGTGTCCAGATGCCCTTTAAAACTTTGGAGGGAGTTGTGGAAGAGATCCAAATCTGTCTGTCTACTGATGTCGTTGAAACTGCAACAGGATCGATGTAGTGGAGCTCTGCTTGCAAGGATGGTACTTGGTGTTTTTGTATAAAACGTATATAGAGAGAATAGTAAATAAGATAATATAGAGAATAGAAAGCTCTTTTCATTGCGGCGCCACTTGACCCCCCTTTCCACTTGAAAAAAGTTGGGGGATGACACCCCCGTTCAGAGGGTTGAATATTTTGCAATCGTTTTTGGGGCAAAAGTTGTCCCCCTCACAAACAAAATTGACGAGTTTTTGGATTTTTTGAAAAAATAAATACCCTGGCCGTTATGCCTTGCGAAACGTTTTCGATGGCCACCCTGTATATTAAGAAACTAAAGAATTATTAAAAATATACTGCCATGTGTCTCTTGTTTTATTTTGGGAGCTATTAATAAATTCTTTATACCGGGTGCGTCTCAAAAGTGGCCCACCCCCTATAACTTTTTTATTTTTTCAGATAAAATAACGAGACTTAGTACGTTAGTATACGACATAAATCTGGATTGATTGACATATTCAATTGTTATTGGTCACTTCCTGTTTCACCGGAAATGACTACAACTTTTGATTTTTAAAAAAAGCATTTTTTTACGAATAATTTAATACCACTTGGTATTTTGAGTCAAATTTTCGTTACGAACCGCAAGTTATAATTTCAAATAAACCATATGCGAAAATGTCAAAAGTTGACATATGATATGTCATTCTATTCAAAGTGTTATTTTCTATCGAATACATAAAAAAATACCGTGGGTGCCATTTACAAATCAAAAGTTGTAGTCATTTCCGGTGAAACAGGAACTGACCGAAAACAATTGAATAGTGGATTCCAGAAATTTTAAAAATATCGAAATAATTCTTTTAACGCAAAAAATATTTTTAATTAATTATTTTCCTCTCGTAAATCCTTTTTAATTATAAAAATAAACAAATATGAATATTTTAACTAATAAAACACATTTCTCACGGCTAAGATAATCTACAATACCAGTATATGTTAATGTGTTCGTGATAACTTAAGGTCACACACCACACACACACATACGACGAACAATGCCATTATTATTATTATTATTCATTAAAAAAATAGTTGCATAAAACGTATCCTTCTCTGTCCTCAGTTGTAACCTAGATTTTTAGGTTAATTAGCAAAAAAGAACAGACACGCGTCTGTTGAATCGTTCGCTTGCTTGACAGAAGGAAAACGAATTAAACGAGGCTTTTGTTGTTAAACGATGATAAACATTAAATATTTGGACGAGCGGAAGGTTATATTTTATTTAAGTTCATTGCTAAAATAATAATAGCATATAATTTATAGCAGACAATGAATGAAAAGTTGGTTTCCAGAACATTTTGTAATTTTTACTTTCTAAACCGTATAAAATTGTGATTAATCTGGAAATACGTGCAACTTTTAATACGCATGCGCAAAGTAAGGTCCTCGAGAAAGAAAAACCTATTGAACGTTTCATAGGTGCAATAAAGAAGGTTTGAAAATGGCATGTCGTGACGTTGGAGACATATTTTTTAATGCTAAACTTATGGCGTTGATTTATCCACGTAAGTACCTATACCGGGTGTTGCATCGTCGAGCGGGACATAGGAAATCCCAAGTAAATTTTAATAGGGTCAATTATTCAATATCATTAAAGGAGTCAATTATTGGCTTCCCTGATTATTTTAGAGAATAGGAACCTTAGGTTTATTGAAGACCACTAAAACCCACATTCAAAAGAATAACTTTAGATATTTTTGTTTGTTATATAGTATATTTAGTGTGTTGTTTACGAGTTATCGCCGATTTCTTTTTAAATATTTCTCTTTTCTTATGGCCCTGTATTTACTTATGAGCACCAGCCAAGGTAAAAGATAACTGTCAAATGAAGTTGTCATTTCAGAAATTTACTTATTTAGTGCTTTATTATTATTGAAAACTCATTCCTACATCGGAAATCTTAAAGATGTATTTATAATTAATATGAATTAAATTAAAATAAAGTAATCAATTATAAGGTTAATTATAGTATTATTACAATATTCAATAACATTAATAGCATTTTTTAACTCGTCTAGATTTGGGTATTTTTTGTCCTTGTATATCCTGTTTTTTAAATGGCCCCAGAGGAAGAAATCATTTGGCGAAATATCAGGAGACCTTGCTGGCCAATTTACTGTATGATTTAGGCCAATAACGTTTCCGTTAAAACTATTGTCTAAATATTCCCGAAGAGACAGGGTACTATGTGCCGGGCAGCCATCCATTTGGTACCAAACTTCCTGATTTTCCCTAGCGGCATCATGTAAAGCAGGTAAAATATGATTTTCGAGTAGTTCCGAACCAAATAATATTCTGCATTTAAATTTCGCGTAAGAAATAATGGCCCGATAATATTGTGTCCGAATATCCCTGCCCAAACATTTACTTTCTGTGGATATTGCGTTCTTGTTTCGACAAACCTGTGTTGGTTTTCTTTGTTCCAATATCGATAATTTTGAACAGGTAAACGTGCATTCGTCAGTGAAACATATGTTTTTTAAAAATTTCCTATCCGTGTTTGATCTTTCCATCATATCAAAACAAAACGCCTGCCGCCGTATTTCGTCCCCATCTCGTAGCTCTTGGTGCTTTTCATATTTGACGGAATAGTATTTATGTCGTTTCAAAATTCGAAACGCTGTAGTGTGATCTATTCCCATTTCATCCTCAAGTTTCCTTGTGCTGATCTTTCCATCGTTCTCTTCCACGCACAATAAAACTTCCAAGTCGGTATCATTTCTTGCATTTTCTCTTTGTTCCTGCCTTGCTTCACATCTGCAGTTATTTATTAGGGTACCTTTGGTCTCAAATCTCTGGATATTCCTTGCGATTGTAGATTTTCCAGGTATCGGTCTATTCGGATACAGAGCAGCAAACATGTCCGACACCTTTTGATAACTATTTCCTTAATAATACCATTTAATCATCAATACTTTTTTTTCGGTAGTGTAATTCATGGCTAATATTTTCGATGTAGGTATGAGTTTTTAATAATAATAAAGCACTAAATAGATAAATTTCTGAAATGACAACTTCATTTGACAGTTATCTTTTACCTTGACTGGTGCTCATAAGTAAATACAAGGCCATAAGGAAGGAGAAATATTTAAAAAGAAATCGGCGATAACTCGTAAACGAGCTAATCAAAAATATCTAAAGTTATTCTTTTCAATGTGGGTTTTAGTACTCTTCAATAAACCTAAATAGAATTATTCTCTAAAATAATTAGGGAAGCCAATAATTGACCCCATTAAAATTTACATGGTATTTCCTATGTCCCGCTCGACGATGAAACACCCGGTATATGATCTAGGCCTATAAACCTGATTAAATGACATTTTGGCAAAAATGTTTAAATTTGTTGTACAATTTAAGATACCAAGCAGCTCTTCGTTTTACTTTATAGAGCAAATGATTGTAACAGATATTTTGTTTAGATTATAAAGCTGCAAAAATTAGTTCAAACAGAAGTTTATTATCGCTATGTTGGTCACATTGCGCCGCGGTGTTGTCCCGGATCTATAATCGAGGATAAATATATCTCTCTTCGACTATTGCCTTCTTGGATTTTGAGATCAATTCCTAAAGGACCGAATGCATCCTTGTTTTATTTAGTTTCTTGGTCTTACTGATAAATCTGTGTTAAACTCTTGGTACGGGGCCCGTTCTATTCTGGCGTTAAGCTCTACCACAGTATAGCCACTTCCTGATCTAAATAAATCTTCTTAATTCTCCTAAATTCTCGTTATTCGCGGTTATTACTTGCATATATTCGCGATTCCTTTAATTCGCGACTCGCGAAAATGCAACTAAATCAGTCGATAGCTTTCAAATCAGCGCCAAACGAAAACGAAACTGAAAGAGAAATGATTCTCCGACCTGCCATAAATGTAATCGGGCGATAACCAGGTGAAAGTGATCGTTTGCCGTTGTGTAAGATTCACCAGAGGCAGCTTTATCTGTTTAGAAAAGGCCGGCGATGTCGCGCAATACGCGTTCAGGCTACTCCGAAAGTTATATAATTTTTTCTTAATCGCTTCTCAGAATATTTAAGGAAAATCCACACGGATTTAAGTATATGGTTATTAATGTAGAGACCAAAGACATCTAAATGGGTACACAGAACACTCCATTCATAAAACTCAACTTTTTAGAATGGTTTGACACTTTTATTAGAGTTAAAAAGATAGGGGTACATAAATATGACAACACGGTTGAGTTTCGTCTATCTCAGTCTATGTTTTGTCTGTCATTTGGCTCTATCACTGCCGTGACGGTGGCGTGATATTTTTTTGTCAAAAATTAATGAATTTTATCAAAAATTGATTGGGATTGCCTTAGACCAATTTTCCATTATAACTTATAACTAGTTTTGCCGGAGGGTAACTCTAATTTCACAATACTAATCTACTTATAACTAAAAGTATCTAAATACGCTACTGTAAGCATGGCTAAAGGTAAAAAAACGTAATGACACTTACCGTCGAAATATCAATTCCGGGTTAGAATAGTCCACCTTTTTACAAACTATGCACTGGCGAACCACCGTAGATAGTTAAAATCTACTTTAAATAGTTTTCTTTGCAATAAACACTAATAATTATTAGAAAGTTGTTCAAAAGCTACAAAAATTTTCAACTACCGCAGAAAACTCACAAACGCGCGCTGTCAAATATAAGTGGAATCAAAACAAATGAAAACGTCAAATGTCAGCGTAATTCCTACAGGTTTCGATAATTTCGTAGTAAAGATGAATCCACAGCGATGCCGCTAGTTGTCATTGTAATTTCCCTAATATAATTTAATTAGAAAACTAAAAATAATTTCAAAGGTATAATCCTGGCACAATCTATATCTATGTATATTAATTAAAGTTATATACCTACACAAATATTTAGTTTAACGTTTTTATAGGTACATTTTTTAAAAATATAGGGAGTTTTATAGGGTGTCTCCAAAAAAAAGTTACGTATCTAAGTTGTTTTTTTGTAATGGAACACCCTATATATTAATTGATTTTCGGATTTTAGGAAAAAAATAAAGGCGAGTTCATTAAAGAAGCATATCCCTAAATTGTAAGGTTCTTGACATGTTTCACGTTTTGTAAAAATGAAGAATAAATTTTTAATTTCAATAACAGCTATCTAAATCGTAATATAATGTATAGTCTGATATTTAGTTAAAATAACTTCTAATAACTTAAGAAATAATTTCCAAACAATTTCTCTTTAGTCATAGATACCGTATGATCGAGTAAAAACGGCGTTAGCGATGGCTATGAAATGAAGATCGATGACATTTCCCATATAAATTTACATAATATAAAATGACAGCGATCTTCATTTCATAGCCATCTCTGACGCCGTTTTTATTCGATCATACGTAGTTTTTCGCCAGGTTCTACGGGTAATAGTTTCCCAGATACAGCCCAGAGACATTCTTAGCAGGACATCCTCTCAAATAGTGCCGTTTTGTATTTTTTTCTCTTCCAGGTGTGGTGGTTCCTTAATCAGCAGAAGGCATGTAGTTACGGCTGGTCACTGCGTCGCCAGAGCCACACCAAGGCAAGTCCACGTCACATTGGGCGATTACGTTATCAATTCGGCAGTAGAGCCCCTACCGGCTTACACTTTTGGTGTTTCAAGTATACAGGTAAAGTTAAGAATGTTTCATTATATCATTAATCTGTATTTGAACAGTCCTGATAAAACATTTCTATTAAAACAACTGAAAAATAATAGACAGGGTTGTTTAGATTTTTGCCAATTGTAAGTTTTGGGTTCGTTGAAGGACTATTAGAGCTACAATTTAAAAATATTTTTAAATTATAGCGTTATATTTTCCGTTATATTTTCTATACGTAGTATACCTTAACTTGTTGGCGTTACGAGCCGAAGCATTTGGAGTTTAAAGCCCCATACTCACACTTCGCTACTTCACTTCCTTCCTTCGTCGCGTCCCTTCGTCCAAAAACCTTATATTTACTATGGGAAATGTCGATTTTATGCGACTGTGTGTTCTTTCGTTCCTTCGTCAAAACGCTCCTTCGTCCGTTTACTTCCTCGAAACGCTCCTTCCCCCTGTGCCCGTACTGTCGGTTTTTGGACGAAGTAGCAAAGGAATTATCAAAAACACAAAAAAATATTAAAATATATAAATCTATCTTGGATTTCATTCGTAGTTGATTTCTTGATTTGGCAGTACGTCTGTACAGGGTGTCCCATTTTCGTGTGTTTTGCAGGGTTTCTCGTTTATGAGTCGAGATACAAAGATGCGGTTTTCACATTACGCTGTTACTTTTTTATGAAACTAAAGATGCTACATACAGATATGTCCTAGCTCTCTTACTTCCTAAAATACAGGGCGAATCTGAAATTATTGCATTTTTCGATCCCCTTTGTACTTATCGAAAAGGTGAAAACGGTGTCCCGTACAGTTTTTCACGTAGAATGCAGTAACGTAACTATTTCTTCGTTGCACTCTGTCTTTTTTAAATGGACTAAAACTTATATGTTTTTTAAATGCTATATTTTGTATATTATTTTATTTTCCTTGTTACGAGCTTTCTAAAATACTTATTTTCATAAACGGGGTAAAAATGCATTATTTAACTTTATTACATAGTCGGCCGATTTAAATTAGGTAATCAAAACAATCAACTAATTTATTCGACGTAAAATGTTGGTTATTGGCATGTTATTTAAAAGCAGCACAAGTTCAGTTTCCGTGTAGTTTATCAAAATATCACGATGCAAAGCAAAATTATCTGGTAAATTTAAGTTAAATAAAATAAGAGCCGTTTAGCACTTTAGCAGTACCTAAATAAATAAATATAGAGTATATTATAATTTTAGAAAGCTCATAACAAGGCAAATAAAATAAAAAATAATATATAGAGTGTCCTGTTTAAAAAAAAGAACATAAGTTTGAGTCATTTTTCGAAATAGACAGCTCCCAACGAAGAACTAGTTTCGTCACTGCATTCTACCTGAAAAACGAGACACGGGCGGTGGGTAAGTACTCAATAGGTAGAACAAAATAAAATCAGGGTATCCAGTATATACCTGTACATTTAGATGAACAGTCTAATTTTATAAAAGGTATTTTCAACGACCGCATAGTAAATACCCGGTATAATACCAGTAATATCAAGAATACTAGTATATCTACATATATTCCTATATATATATATATATATATATATATATATATATATATATATATATATATATATATATATATATATATATATAGTGGTATATTTCTATTCCCGGTATTATACCGGGTATTTACTAATATTTCTATTCCCGGTATTATACCGGGTATTTACTATGCGGTCGTCGGAAACTCCTTTAATTAAAATTAGGATGTTCATCTAAATATACAGGTAGGTATATACATATATACCCAGATTTTATTTATCTACGAATTGGGTACTTACCCACCGCCCATCACTGATCCTTTTCACCTTTTCGATAAGTTATAAGATAATCGAGATACAAAGGTTATCGAAAAATGCAAAAATTTCTACTAATTAAAAAATATTTAGTTTCATAATAAGTAGAACAATGATGTGAAAACGGCATCTTTATATCTCTACTCATAAACCAGAAACCCCATAAAACACACAAAAATGGGACATCCTGTACAAATAGCTATCGCCAGTCGATATAAAAATAATTCACACACAGTAGTCCAAAAAATGGAAGAAAAAAACAATATTGTCTTCATATTTGTGAAAAAATACATGTCCATATTTATGTAATCGTAGCGACAAAAATAAAAAAATAGAAATAGTGTGCATGATGCCTTTACAAAAATATCTGAAGAAATGGGGATTGACATCATTAACGTTTAATTAGTATATCATATTTCATAGTTTCGATATAAATTACATAATAAACTTTACTCTATTGTTGACTCGCCTTGTACATTCATACTGATATACCTTGTACATGATACTGAAATATTGGGATTTATTAAAAAAATATATATTATTAAAATTTAGTTTTTATTTTTGACACGACAAAGAATTGCAGTTTTATAAAATAAAAATTATGCGCCTTTCGGATTTTTTAAAAATTTTAGAGGTTACTAGATATTTCGTAATAAACATGTAGCTGCTATATTAAAAATATTTTGTGGTGTGTTGTTGTATAATCGACTAATTTCCAAGCATCGAATGGACGAAGGAAGGAAGCGAAGGGACGAAGGAACGAAGTGAAGTGACGAAGTAACGCGAGGAAGGAGCGAAGTATGAGTATGGGGCTTAACACGTGAAAAACATAGCGGGAACTAAGGGCAAAATGAAATTTTGACAGGCTGTAGAGAAAATGGGTAAAATAAAACGTTTTGAAGCAAAAATTGAAAAAAAGTTATTTACGAAAAGTATAATTTAAATAGGTTTTTCCTAATTTTTTTCAGTTTTTTTTTGGGGCGGCATTGATCATTTGACCTTATGGTTAAGCCGCCACCAGGGTTCGGAAGTAGTTAATTAAGACGTAATTTACCTGATTACCTACGTGTAGTTTTTCTTCAAAAACTACGTCTTTTCCCGTTCATTAACTACATGAAAACTACGTTAATAAACTATGTATTGATATTATGAATAATTTTCCTTTGTATGAGGTGTAATAGAGATAATATGATGTAAATATTAAATTTAAGCCATATTTCTTCTGTTTTCTTAAATTCATTATGTGTTTTTAAAGCTTCAACTTATTATAACCTCACCTCAAACCTTTGATATTTGACATAGGTTACATAAACTACACCCTCTACATTAACTACATGTAATGTAGTTTTTAAAAGTAACATGTAGTTTTCCGAACCCTGGCCGCCACTGACGACAATCTGTCGTAAAACTATAAAGCTTTCATCAAACATTTCAAAGTCAATGCATAACGCATGGTTAATTGATAAACATACCATGTCAATAATACCAGATTTGTTTTCCATATTACTTCATCGGGCGATTATCCCTTGTTTCTTTTTTCGTTTTCGCATCATGGTCGCCTGCGATTTCTTCGATAACCGTTTATAAATAAAGAGGAGAGAAAGTTTTTTTTCGGGGGGCGCCCGAGTCGTTACAAGAGAGAAAAGAAAGTGGTTTGTTGAGGCAACAACCGAACACTTTCGGTTTCGGCGACAGATCGGAAACAACCAGAAGGAAAGAAGAAGAAAAATAAAAAAGAAACGATAAATATTCAATGTGCGGTTGGATAATTCTATTATGGCGGTTCAGAGTGGTAATTTAATATATTTTGAAAAACAGTAAATACAACTCAGCAGCAGTTAGAATTTCATCTTTGTTCCAATACTCTCCAATACTGATTTATTTTGCATCATTATGTTTTCGTTATCTGCCAACGACGCGGCCGTTGGCAGATAACGACCAATTATTAATTTAACGACTATTTCATTGCTGACAGCCAATCGACAACGATTGTATATACCGGATACCCTGATTTTGTTTTGTTCTACCCACCGCCCGTGTCTCGTTTTTCAGGTAGAATAGAATCTGGAAACTAGTTCTTCGTTGGGTGCTGTCTATTTCGAAAAATGACTCAAACTTATTTTCTTTTTTTTTAAACAGGACACTCTATATATTATTTTTTATTTTATTTGCCTTGTTATGAGCTTTCTAAAATTATATTATACTCTATATTTATTTATTTAGGTACTACTAAAGTGCTAAACGGCTCTTATTTTATTTAACTTAATTTTACCAGATAATTTTGCTTTGCATCGTGATATTTTGATAAACTACACGGAAACTGAACTTGTGCTGCTTTTAGATAACATGCCAATAACCAACATTTTACGTCGAATAAATTAGTTGATTGTTTTGATTACCTAATTTAAATCGGCCGACTATGTAATAAAGTTAAATAATGCATTTTTACCCTTTTTATGAAAATAAGTATTTTAGAAAGCCCGTAACAAGGAAAATAAAATAATATACAAAATATAGCATTTAAAAAAACATATAAGTTTTAGTCCATTTAAAAAAGACAGATTGCAACGAAGAAATAGTTACGTTACTGCATTCTACGTGAAAAACTGTACGGGACACCGTTTTCACCTTTTCGATAAGTTATGATACAAAGGGGATCGAAAAATGCAATAATTTCAGATTCGCCCTGTATTTTCGGAAGTCAGAGAGCTAGGACATATCTGTATGTAGCATCTTTAGTTTCATAAAAAAGTAACAGCGTAATGTGAAAACCGTATCTTTGTATCTCGACTCATAAACGAGAAACCCTGCAAAACACACGAAAATCTGCAAACGACGCGGCCGTTGGCAGATAACGACCAATTATTAATTTAACGACTATTTCATTGCTGACAGCCAATCGACGACGATTGGCTGTCAGCAATGAAATAGTCAGTCCGCGGATAAAGGGTCGGTATTAAGTAGGATCTGCATCCAATCAGTACCGGCACCGGAGAGATGTCCGAAGATGAATATCCATCCGGACCTACCCATCTCTACTGAATACCCAATGACTAAAGAATCCAAGGACAAATAACACCCGAGAGCAAATTGTGCCGATGTCACCAAACAGTTTTTTTTGTGAGGGGGTGGTAAAAAACCTTTTATAGGCGAGTGGTGTTCGTTCCCATCACCATCTCGAGAGAGACGATCATAGAGACGAACTCTAAACAGTGTGGGAGTCGAATTGTTACCCACTAAAAAAGTCCACCTCCGAGGAGTCAGCTCCTCCTCTCCCCCGTAACGGGTTCGTACGTGATCTTTGGGTTCGTACGCGATCTATGTTATTTTTTATCTATATTCTATTCTATTTATTTTTAGGATACTTCCACCTTTCTTGCCTTTTCATCTTTTTCATTCTCTATTATTATTTCTTTCATAAATGCCCCTACCTTTTCCCATATTTCGCTAGTTTTGGTAATTTTCTTAACCAAGGTGTCCGAAGTTAATATTCCTACATCCGACAATAAGGCAGACCTTCCGTTTTCCCATCTCGGACAGCAGAACAACGTGTGCTCGGCATCGTCGATTTCGTCGCAGTACATGCAGTTGCTATTTCGTATTTTCTTTATTCTGTGCAAGAAGTCCATTAATACTCCATGCCCGGAAAGAAACTGCGTTATGTAATAGTCCACGTCTCCGTGTTTCCTACTTGTCCAGTCCTCCACGTTGTGTGTCACTCCTCTTGCCATTTTTGATAGGTACCTCGTCGTTGATGGTTTTTCACCTCATCGTTAATCTCTGTTTTGACATATAACTCTCGCTTTTCCTCAGCTGCTAAATGCAGCGGGGTCAGCTCAGCTATAACCAACACGGCTGTTGATATCGTACGATACGCTGAACAGATCCTTAGGGCCATTTTTCTCTGTGTGGGAAGCAATATATTTTTCATCCGTTGGAATTTTAGTGCTCGACCCATACAGGAGCGGATTATTAAAATGTTAACAAAAGGTACAAAAGTAGTATCGACGTTTAGCACATATCAAGTACATATAGATGTTAATTGAAATTGAAGAATAATTATCGAATTCAATAAGAAAACGCTAAAAAGTTGGAGTGGACTGTTTATTTACTTATGAAACGTAACTCCTGGCTCTTTCTTATCGCTGCTGCTTTTACACTTGAAAGCTGAACAACTAAACACACTGGAAAAGTCTAGGGATATTACAATTTTATCCAGCCATCGTCAGTAATTTTATTATTTGCATTTCTGATATAATAAAATTAAAATAAACAAATAGTTTACAGGACGTATTGGAAATAAAAATGCGAAATTTACCGAATTTTTCAAATTTACCTTGATTTTTATTGAACTCAAAAAAATACACTCATTTTTTTTTATTCTAAACTGTGAATTAAAAAAAAAGATAAAACCATTTTTATTTAATAAAGGGTATGGCCTCCTCTACTGTTCATTACAGCCCTACATCGTCTATCCATGCTCCTGATCGGGTTGTCGATCTCTTCTTGAGGTACAGCCTGCCACGCTGCGTTCACGGCCCGAACCAGATCCCTACGAGTTTCACGAGGCATACCCATTCTCAAAATTCTTCTTTGGAGCGAGTCCCATACGTGCTCGATGGGGTTGAGGTCAGGAGATTGTGCCGGCCAGGGTAAGATGTTTAATTGATGAGCATTGATAAACTCACTTACCACTCTGGCTGTATGAGGCCGTGCATTGTGATGCATGAAAATAAAGTTTCTCCCAAAATCATTGGCATATGGTAACACGACAGGCTCAAGAATTAAATCACGATATTTGATTTCTGTTAGAAACCTTTCAAGAAAAACGAGATCGGTTTTTCGGCCTAACTGGACTCCTCCCCAGACCATAACTGTTCCACCTTGATAAGGGTGCATTTCCTGAACATGATCCAACCGAATAAGATTTCCCGGTTGTCTCCATACCCTAAGCCTTCTCGAATCCGGATGAATTCCAAAGCGTGACTCATCAGTGAAGAGAACATTGGCCCATTGTTCATTCGACCACTGAACATGATCTTGGGCCCACAAATATCGTACCTCTCGATTTCCTCTCGTTAAGGGTTGATCTCTCCAGGGGCGTCTGCTTCTTAAGTTGACCTGTCTTAATCTATTGCGAACAGTGTCAGGACTAACGGTTACATTATGTGTTTCCTGGAGAATTAAACTAAGCTCTGGTGCTGTAAGAGTCGGTCGGCGCGATCATTTAATTGTAAAAAATGATCTTCCTGAGGGGTAGTAATGCGATGTCGCCCTGTGTGCCTTTCTGCAACATCACCACTTTCACGGTAGCGTGCACTTAATCGCGATATTACACCTTGCCTTGTATTTAATGCTCTAGCTACGTTGATTTGGCGCATTCCAGCTTCGAGCATACCCATGGCCCTTAGCATTTCGTCTCTGTTAAGATGTCTACGCTCCATAATGTAGTTTAATACTAAACAGAGTTATTTGAATGAATTCTGGCCAGTTATCATAAAAAACATAGCCAGTACAGGTTAAATTCGAACAATTGATGCTAGGTGCTTTTTATACATTTGACAAAAAATGCACAAACACTTCTGCAAATATCCCAAATTTAGAAATAACTAGTGTGACTACTTCGTTTCAATCGAAGTAGAAAGAATCGGCCTACAAATATGTGGTTGTTTATTCAAAACATTTATTTTTAACTTTAATAAAATGATATCCCTAGATTTTCCGGTGTGTGTATTACAACTATTCACCATTGTAATAAAGTTTATACAAAGTTTACTACACACAAACTATTAAAAAAAATCGCTAAAATTGTCGCTGGTGACCAAATGATGACTCATTGTTTGCCATCAAAAGAATGGCCTCTAAGGTCACAAATTCTCCTGCAGCCCGTATATGGGCGTTCCGTGTCCTTATATTCTTTAGTCTTTGTGAATACCGCTGTGCCATAAAAGGCGAATTTATCATGTTAAATCTGTGGTGTAATGAACCGTATAGAATATTTATAAATTATTGCTCTGCGGTGAAATGAACCAAACTATCGAAAGGTCGATGTCGATAGATTTTTCATTGGCGAAGGTAAAGGTCAAACGAAACGTGCGTCGACTTTTTTTCTACGTTGTTGCCTGATGTTTTCGTAATCGAATGTTGTTATTATTGCGGCGGTCGCCGTTTTCGATTTCTATTAATTAATCATAGTTTATGTCAGAGACAGAGAGAAATGTGTTGTCCGTGCGATTTGTTTACCGTCGAATAACAGCCGTGAAAGTTTTAACGCGTGTGTTAAATAATTTTATTTGTAATCTTTCTGTTTGCTTGTGTTTGTCTAATTTACATTTATCTCGCAGTTCCGCATTATAGATTTTTTTAATACACTCAGATGCAAAAAAATCGCAACGGACAAATTTAAACTGTTATATTTTTCAATCCAAATCTTTCCAGGTCCACCCCTTCTTCAAATTCACCCCACAAGCTGACCGGTTCGACGTAGCCGTCCTGCGCCTGGACAGAGCCGCTCTGAACTTACCCCACGTCACCCCCATATGTCTCCCCGCCAAGGGGGAGAGCTTCCTGGGCGACGTGGGACACGCAGCTGGATGGGGGGCTCTCAGTCCCGGGTCCAGACTGCGCCCCCAGACGCTGCAAACAGTGAGGGTGCCAGTGATAGAGAACAGGCAGTGTGAGAGGTGGCATAGGTAAGATATACAGGGTGACGCACCTCATTCGCCTCGGTTGATTATAAATAAACGGAAAGAACAACATTTTTGTAGGTATATGTAGAGAGGCAATGTGCATAATTTAAAATTATTTTCAAATGTACAGGGTGTGTCAGAACTAAGATCCATACCAAAGTTATATTTTTTCTTATGGAACACTATGTATTTTTTTAAATAAGTCGAAGCAGATTTAAATGCTCTTATAATATAAACTATATTAGGGTTTCCTGTACCTATCTGCATCAGATTTTGAATAAAAAGCGATTTTTTCAATGAAATCAATTTGCTAGTGACATTAGCTATTTTCAAAATCGCCATTAGTTTATGGAGTTTATTTAAATTTATAACAATTTACTTTTATTTAATTTACCTACAATAGTTTAATAAGTAAGTATTTATTATTCTATCAAGAAAAATAAAGAAGTAGTTTTTTGATCTATATTACGATGACTTGTAGATATATTGGATTTTCTATAAAAGAACCAATTAAGGCAAATTCATTTTCTTCACTTCCAATGACAGGTTTCTGCCTAATAGGTTTTTCATATACCACACTATCAGCTCTGCGAAATAGGAAAAGTAGGTTTTCGAAGAAACGCTTGTCAAGAAAGTTCCTATTTGGATACATTTGTATCCAAATCTTGCCATCTTGATTACAATTTTATTGAAAAATCGCTTTTTATTCAAAATCTGAGCCAGATAGGTATAGGAAACATTTATATAGTTTCTAATAGCATTATAGTTCTGCTTCGATTTATTTAAAAAAATACATAGTGTTGCATTTGAAACAACGAAAAGTTTTTATGTAAAATAAATATTCAAAATAGACTAGCAATTTTTGATACCCCTGTATGCATTAAAGGAAGCAATTGCAATTTTTAGTAAAGTTTATTTCTCTGGCTTAAAAGTTAGAACAAGAATTAATTCTGAAAAGTAATGTACAAGGTGTTGGACAAACTTTTTTATTATAGCATGCATATTTAAATATCTTTATACGGGGTGCTTCAAAACAAATTGGAAAATCTTCAGGGAACGATTCCTTGTTCAAAATAAAGGGTAGTTTGCTTCATAAACGTTGGGTCAAAAGTCAACCATTAGGGAGATATCGCGGTACAAAGATGGCGGAAAAATAATGTTTTTATTTTTTATCTTGAAAACGAAAAGAGATAGACTAATTTTGCATTTCTATGAAAAACATTTCCAAAGCACCTTTTACCTAGAATTTAATGGTTTAAGTATATTTTTTTAAATTAATAATTTAAGAGTTATCAACAGAAAAATTGATTTTTTATTTGGGACACCCTCTATATTTTTAATTAACTGAAAAGAATTTAAAATTACCTTTCCAATAATATAGCACACTTGATATTTTGTTATAATCCCCTTCGAAATACAGAACTTTTAAAAGTTCGCCACTTTTAACTAGCAGGCTTTGGACCCTTTATTGATGATATGCCCTTAATGGAACTCGAAAACATATTTTTCCAGCAAGACGATGCACCGCCTCTGATCGCTAAAGTTATCAGCAAATTTTTGCATCCAATTTCAAGGATAATTGAATAGCCAACCAAGATTCCAGCCGTTGGCAGTCGAGGCCGCCTGACTTAGTGCCCATGGATCTAATCCTATCGATATATTTGCGGAAAAATAAAGGTTCCTTATTCTTCCGTATAATCTAGACAAGAATTAGAAATACTTAGCAGTTATGAGAGGGTATCTTTCACCCCTACTGAGTTAATGAATTCCGCGAGAAATGTTCAAAAACTGCCCCGTCTGGCCATAACAGAAGACGGTCGATATGTCGAACACCTATAGCAAAATCTCATGTCTTGGTTTGCTATTTATTTTTCTTGTTATTAGATATAGTTTAAATGTGTCGATGTTGATTAAATATATTTTAAATAGTTACAAAATTCTGCATCTCTCATAGCAAATATTATTTTCGTTTTAATTGATGCTCACAGCTAGATTTTTTTGCATTACAGCCGGTGCCGTTCAAAGCCTACTTATTTAAAGCGGGCGAATTTTTATATACTCTATATCTCAAAGAGGAATCGAGCAAAATATCAAGTGTGTTATATTTTTGGAAAGGTAATTTTAAATTATTTTCAATAAATTAAAAATATACAGGGTGTCCCATATAAAAAATCAAATTTTCTGTTGATAATTCTTAAATTATTAATTTTAAAAAAATTATACTTAAACCATTAAATTCTACGTAAAAAGGTGCTTTGGAAATGTTTTCATAAAAACATTTCCAAAGCACCAAAATACAAAATTTCCCATAACAAAAAAGTTACAGCGATTTGTTAAAAGTGCATATTTTTGAAAAACACCCAGTAACTCCGAAACCGTAACAGATAATCGATATGCGGTTTTCACTATCATGTTTTTGACAAAAATTGAGCTCCAGACATCGATATTAGTTTTCGTCTATCTCCTATAGAAAAGGGTGTTTCCATTTAAAAGCGTCGACTTTGACCCACCCTGTACAAGGTGTTGGACAAACTTTTTTATTATAGCATGCATATTTAAATATCTTTATATATCTCAAAACCAAAGCTTTTAAACATAATAAACCCTTATAATAATTGCCTTATTTTATGTCTAAGAATCCAAAAATGAAATAAAATACCGGGTTTCCATAAGAAAAAATATAACTTTGGTATGGATCTTAGTTTTGACACACCCTGTATATTTCAAAATAATTTTTGAATTATGCACATCGCCTTCCCACATATACCCATAAAATATTTTGTTTCTGCATCTTTCCGTTTTCGTATAATCAAACAAGGCGAAACAGGTGGTCCACCCTGTATTATACAGTATGTCCCCGGATTGTCTTTACAAGAAGAAAAAAACTTTTTTTATTATTGATGTTTTGGGAAAAATGCATTCTTCATAAAAAAAAATTTGCTTCTTCTAAAAAGGTTAATCCCGTTTATGCTTTTCCAAATTTCCATACCGTTTTAGAGAAAATTAGAAAAAACATGAAAATATAGATGACTTTTTTCCTTATACCGGGTGCGTCTCCAAAGTGGCTCACCCCCTATAACTTTTTTATTTTTTCAGATAAAACAACGAGATTTGGTATGTTAGTATATGACATAAATTGGGATTGATTGACGTATTCAATTGTTTTCGGTCACTTCCGCTTTCACTGGAAATGACTACAACTTTTGAATTTTAAATGGCACCCTCGATTTTTTTTTACTTTATTCGATAGAAAATTACACTCTGAATCGAATGACATATCACATGTCAATTTTTGACATGTTCACTCAAAAACAAATTCTATTTTAAATTTCAATCTAGAGTGGACCATGGCTGTGTTAAAAACATAAATTATTAATCAAGGAGCCTTGGAAAAATAGATTTGATCGTCTAATGTTTTTAGTGTCTTGTCCTGGCCGGTTAAAAGATACCCAAATCGTATTTTTAATCATATCTCTCTATCTTTATTTTTTCATATGGAACGAAGGTGGCTCATTAGCATAATTGGAAAAAGCATTTTTTACGAATAATTTAATACCACACAGTTGGTATTTTGAGTCAAATTGTCGTTATGAACCGCATGTTACAATTTCAAATAAACCATATGCAAAAATGTCAAAAGTTGACATATGATATGTCATTCGATTCAGAGTGTCATTTTCTATCGAATAAACTAAAAAAATCCGGGGGTGCAATTTAAAAATCAAAAGTTGTAGTCATTTCCGGTGAAACCGGAAGTGACCGAAAACAATTGAATACGTCAATCAATCCCAATTTATGTCAAATACTAACTTACCAAATATCGTTGTTTTATCTGAAAATATAAAAAAGTTATAGGGGGTGAGCCACTTTTGAGACGCACCCTGTATAGTTGACTCTAATATTATAGTTCCCAAAATATAGATGACTTTTTCTTTGTGACGTGGTTCTGGGCAGGCCCTATTTTTCATACGGTCGGGCCCTAAGGCCCGAGCAAAAATTCGGGCCCTTTTTTCCAATAAAATTCAAAAATTCAAGAAATTATGAATATTTTACAGCCTTTAACGATCCCCCCAGACCACCGGGCCCAAGGCCCTGGCCTTATGGGCCTTATGATAAAATAGGCCCTGGTTTTGGGCTAGACATGCTTCTACACTTAGACTAGACTGCCGTTTTTTAGTGTGGTTATTAGTATTAAATTTCACAGGTCCAAGGGGATACAAGTGACCATATACGATGAAATGTTGTGTGCCGGTTACAAGAATGGAGGAAAGGACAGCTGCCAGGGAGATTCAGGGGGACCATTGATGATGCAGAGGGGAGCTAGATGGTACTTGATTGGTATTGTGTCAGCTGGGTATTCTTGCGCTCAACCGGGACAACCAGGAATATACCATAGGGTAAACTTATTTAATATCTTCTAATGAAGAAAAATATTTTCTTGCAGACTGACATTGTCTCTAATGTTGAAAATTTCACACCTCTACTTTTCAACCAATAACATGCTTTAATGTTGACTAGTTACCATGGCAACTGAAAAAATTTCCGGAAATTTTTTCGAGGCGCCACGAAACTTTAGTGGAAATTTTTTGACAGTTGAAAAGGTAAACATAAGATCTACAATCATAATGTGAATGAACTACAATGTCTATATATTGAAATATTACCCATTTGAGTTTTAGCATTTGATGTAACTAATTAAAAATATAATAATATTTGTTAATATTATTAACAAATTTGGATTAATATTTTTTTTTTCAAATTTAGGTGTGAAATTTTCTTACCGAATACCACGCAAGCTTAAATTATTCCTGGAAATTTTCTTTCGGGCACGAATATTTTAGGAAAATTATCCCTCGTCTTCGACTCGGGATAATTTTCAAAATATTCGTGCCCTCAAAAAAATTTCCGAAAATAATTTAAGCTCTTGTGATATTATAAGTGAAAATTTATCAACCTAACCCCACGAGAGATGGCATATATTTTTTGAAACACTCTGTATATTTGTTTCTAAACTAGACCCCATACTAGACCCTAAAATCTTTTGATAAACCAGTTGCGTAATAGTACCAGGTGTCCCACTAAGAATAGCTCTCGGCTGTATCTCGGAAAGTATTCGCCGTAGGGGCTGCGAAAAAAAATACTTATAACTAAAGAGGCTATGGGAAATTGCTGGAAATTATTTTCAAGTTTGTAGGACGGCCGCTAGAGGGCGTAACTGCTATGGAAAATAACAAAATGGAATTTTTAAGAAATTTTGCCTAGATACGATGTACTATAAATAATAGCTTCATAATCTTCAGTAAATTTTGGATCTTTTTTGTTAGAACCATTTTCCCCTATCTGCTAAAATAAAGTAGTGGGGGGAGGTTAGATCTGTTTTTATTTAAATATTAATAACTCCGGACTGGATGATCGGAATTCAACAACGGGCTCGTTTAAAAGAGCGTTTCTTACTCCATATTGTACTATATAAACAATAATAATAAACGTTTGAACGTAGACGCTAGGGGGCGTTGTCTTACAATTTAGTATATATATAAGTAAGTAATATAAGGAGTACTATCACCCCCCGATTTTTTTACACCATTTCAATGACACCCTGTATATATATTTTTTTTATTTTCAGGTTGCCCACACTGTCGACTGGATCAACAGAGCCGTAGCTGCCTAAAAAACACAAAAGAAAAATAAGTTTTGTACATATATAAAAATCTACATTTTTCTACAAAACTACTGACTGTGACATTTTTTTGTAAATACACCTATAATATGTAGCATAACAAAACCTTAAAATATCATGAATTACATTACACAGAGAGGGTGTAATAGGTATTAGACTTGTACCGCCCTGTGCAGAAATATCCCAAATAATTTAGGTGAAAACAGGCTACGAGATATACTTGATATTTATTATTCTCATTGTTTGTGATCAAGAAACCATAATATAGCCTTCCTTTCTCTCAAGTTCATCAAGAAATAAAAACAGACATTTAACAGCTATTAATTTTATTATTATTTTTATTGTTATTGCAAGAAACTAAACTACCGGTGAAATTGTGTAAATATTTAAACAAATTAGCTTCCTAGTCATAACAAAAAGTTAGTTATTATTAATTATGACTGTGTATGAATGATTTTGTGTATATTTTGCGTTTTAAGCACTGTTCACACAAGCCAGTCAGGTCTTAGTTCTGTTGACGTACCGTGTCAGTCTTAAGGTGGCTACACACACTACTGCAAGCTTGACAAGCATGTATGAACAATCTTTTTGTACAAGCAAACTGTAGCGTTTGTAGGGAAAATTTGCGCAAGCATTTTAATTGTGCAAGCCGCTTGATGATTGATTGAATTTGAATCATGCAAGCTTGGACAAGCCATGCTTTGCATTCCATTTCTCTGAAAATCTCTTCTCCAACTTAGACATATCTTGATGGAACCGTTCCTCGTGCTTATCTGTGTCTTTTTGTGTGCTTTTGTTGGGATGCGAATCCTTATCTTTTCTCCAAAATCATGTTTTGTGAGCATATGGTCCGTTTTCTGGACTAGCAGAAGTGGACTCGTGTTCTCCACGATTTTCCCTATCACTGGCAATATCATCGAGTGACCGTAGTTCGTCTGGTTCCACAGATTGGATTCCCTTAATCTTAGGGCACCCTTAGCGGCCAGATCCTTCACGAGCCAGTCGATTGATTGCAAGTTCAAAATTACTTCTAACGCAGCTTGTGCTATGCTGTTTCATGCTCCAGTTTTACCTAGAGCTGCTAATCGCTATACTTTTGTGAGGATTTTTCTATTAGTCTCGTACAGTTTCCCACCATACTAGTGTTACAGTTTCAGATCCCATCTTCTTCCAAACATTTTCTTATATGCATAGAATGCACTTATTTCTTTTATTATCCTTTCCTCCGTGTTCCTTTCCAGGAAAGCTTCGAGTCCAGAACGATTCCCAAATATTTTGTTTTCTTAACAAACACAAGTGACTTCCCTTCCAGTTTTGGTAGTGTGAACTTGGGTATTTTGTATTTTCTTGTAAATAGAATGAGTTCAGTTTTGTCTCGGTTGATGCCCAAACCATTTCTTTTTACCCATTTCGTTAGCTTCTTCAGAGCAGATTCCATAATGTCACTGATCGTCCTTGCCAACGATAGGTATTACCATGTCGTCTGCATATGCCTTTATCCTGATTCCCTTCATTGTCAAAGAGGTCAGGATCGGGTTCATTGCAATCAGCTACAAAAATACTTTACTAAACTTTGCTCCTGTTGAATTATTATTATTAAATTAAGAGAGAATTTAGTATTTTAGAACATCTAATGATTAGATCCCCAATTATTGGAGAAGGGCAATTTTTTTGTCAAAACAACAAAATTCTTAAGAAGTGTCTAGCCCTAGCAGTCAACTATTAAGCTTGACCAATTAAGTTGGTTAGCGTGGTTATTTGGAGTGTGTTAATTCATTTGTGTTTGTCAAAAACTCTAACGTGATTGGTCGGGCTTAATAGTTGCCTGCGAGGGTTAGACACAAGTAAATTCTTATGAAAAGATGTCAGTCAAAACTCAAAACAAGAAAATGTCATTGAAAACGAATTTAAATTATGTCTGAACGGACAATAACTAGACTGACGGTAAAATCGGCGACGGAGCCGGACGTGTGTGAACAGATCTTTAAATGTTTTAGATTTGTTTATATATCACTGCCAGTGTAAAAAGTAAAGTATTTTCTATAATTAGGTCATACAAATATTCGTGTTACTTTATTTTATCAATTTAGGTATTTATTTTAAATATTTGTAATTTTATTCTCTTTATTTCTACTGTATTTATTGTTAGCTTTTACTGGACTGTATAAATAAAGTTTATAATTTAATAAAATTGTGTGTTTTGTTGCTCTATTTTAGACTCATAGAGGAAAACAGTAAAACAGTTTTGAAAAAAAAAACAGTAAAAATATTTACACACTAACTATATTTGCACATAACTTTACAGATTCCTTCTAATATTTTTTTTTCAGCATTCCTCTCTTCATTTTAATTATATTATTTGGCAGTCGTTTTTTTTCATTCGTTGAACATGGCCAGACTAGATTTACTGCTTTCTTTCAATATACAGGGTGTCCCAGAAATAAGTGTTTTACATAAAAATACACGTCACTTACGTTGGTTTAACACTATACACTAACACTAACGCTAGTAATTATGTTTTTATATAAATTCCTCAACTTTTTCCTAGTCCGGACACACAGCTGGCATCGCTGGTGTTACTATAATTTTTACCGAAAGTATGTTTTTTTTCGCGGGTAGGATGTTATGAATCGGATCTAGATAGTTCACTATTCACTCAAAATTATTTAGTATAATTTTATTAGCACAGAAACGCGTAAAAAACACAGATTTGTTGCGAAACTAATGAAAACAATTGGTTTGTTTACGACTACTAATTCTGGACCACTTCGCTAGAACTGTCAAAACAGTCAGGCCTTGAATATGACGTTAGCCACGATTATATAGTTGATGTAGAGCAGCCATCTCGTAATTCTTTCGTTATATTAAACGGTCTTGAGTTTGTTTCTTATCTTAATTCTAGATTCATAAATAATGACACAAAATAACTGTTAAAACACAGTTTATTGACAAAAAAATCAGTCTCAACTACAATTACAACTAGCACAAGGCGTACCGAGTTGCGATGGAACCAAATTACCCAGAAGAGCCTGCAGTGCGGCTGGACTTAATGTTAAAACAGGCGAAGGTGCAGGTGCAGGAGAAGGTACTTCAGGAGCTAGAGGAGGTGCTAATGGAGAACATGGTACCGCAGGAGAAGGTGCCGCTACAACAGGTTCAGGTTGAACTGGTTGAACTGGAACAACAGGAGCAGGTGCTGGAACTACTACTGGTGCAGGTGCAGGGGCGAATATAGGTTTCTGGCATGAACAGCATTGTCCCACTGGGTATCCTTGTGGTACTAGAAACGACGGCACTGGAGGTGGTGGAGGAGGTGGTAACAAAGTACATGGTGGTACTGGTTCTGGTGCTTTTGGTGGAGGTGGTGGTGGAAGTGCGCATTTTGGTGGTGGGGCTGGCAACGAGCAAGATTTACATAGTTTTGAGTAGAAACATCCAGCGTTAACCTGAAAATGAAACAGTAAAAATAAATAAATTTGAAATTCATCATTAGAATCACGGAAACTATATTTGAAGTTGATCAAAATTCCACCATACACGTTTAAACAATTTTGCATATTTTTACGAAGATTTTTGAAAAAAAAAAGAAAATTAGCGGTTTCATTTTTATTTTTTATGACTCTATTTCAATAGATAAATAGTTATTTTTTATACAAGACGATAAAATGGAATTAGACGATAAAATGGCATTTTATCGTCGGCCGAAAAGATTAATTCACGAGCGTTGAAATCGCGAGTGAATTAAATTCGGGAAATTTTCAAAAATGGAAGCAATTAAAAAAAAACGAACGAGAAGAAATAAAGTTTTTAACCTATCCTCGCTGTTAAAGTATCATTTAATCTACCTTTGCGGTTAAAGTACTATTTTTGATAGATATACTTGAAAAAATATACTAAAATCAAAAATAAACTAAATATGAAAAATAAACAAAAATCATTTATGAAAGAAAAAAAAACGAAATATAAAATTATATAAAAATAGCAATATTTACCTGACTAGATAGGGAAATGGCACACAACAAAAACGCCACAACTTTGACAGTCATGATTGTTCGATCTTAATACTGGATTTGGTCTTTGCTGATCTAATTTACTGATAACACTGTACCTGGTGCTTAATGATTTCATGTTTTTATACCGTGAAACAAATTGGTAAAAAAACGGAAGTAAAATCTAGTGGATGGTTGTGTGTGGACGTGATATTTTTAGTTGTCGTTTGACGGTATTTACAGGAAGTATTATTAGTTCTTCATAAAATCATATAATTAAAATTAACCTGAAAATAAATCTATATGGATAAAAATGCTAACGACCAAAGAAATCTTTTCAGTCTATTAAAGTTTAGGTATGCATTTAAAAATAAAATCATTGTTTAATTAAAATTTATATAGATTCCAAACCAAACCAAACCAAGAGAGTGCGTAAAAGAATAGAGTGGATATGACATAAGACCTAAGAATAGATGTCATCCACAGAGTCAAATCCCTCAATTGGCAATGGACAGGATACCTGGCAAGACTTCTTCTCTTGCAAACATTATTGAGATATGAGATACTTGTAGTGCAGTAATGCACAAAATGATACTTGAAACTGATAATACTGCATTGTATTTATTGACAATTGACTTTTAAGATACCTACATAAAATACTATTATCTATTAAAAAAATATACAGGGTGGCGCACCTCATTCGCCTCGGTTGATTATAAGAAAACGGAATGATGTAGAAACAATTTTTTTATGCGTATATGTAGAGAGGCAATGTGCATAATTTAAAATTATATTCAAACGTACAGGGTGTGTCAGAACTAAGGTCCATACCAAAGTTATATTTTTTCTTATGAAACACACACCCGGTATTTTATTTAATTTTTGGGTTTTTGGGCATAAAATAAGGCATTTATTATAAGGGTTTAATATGTTTAAATGCTTTGGTTTTTGAGATATTTAAAGATATTTAAATATGCATGCTATAATAAAAAAGTTTGTTAACACCCTGTACATTACTTCTCAGAGATAATTCTTGTGCTGACTTTGAAGCCAGAGAAATAAACTTTACTAAAAAAAAATTATTGCTTCCTTAAATGTATACAGGGGTATCAAAAATTGCTGGTCTATTTTAAATATTTATTTTACACAAAAACTTCGTTATTTCAAATGCAACACTATGTATTTTTTAAAATAAGTCGAAGCAGATTTAAATGCTTTTTCAAGCTATATTAGGGTTTCCTATATACCTGTCTGGCTCAGATTTTGAATAAAAAGCGATTTTTCAATAAGATGACAATCAAGATGGATGGTGTCGCCATGACAATTTGCTACTAATGACAATTAGTAGTTATTTTCAAAATCGACATTAGTTTATGGACTTTATTTAAATTTATAACAGTTTACTTTTATTCAATTTACCTACCTATTGGGTTATGGGATTAATAATACACGGTCGATTTTTATAATAAAGAAAACTATAGAATTTGACCACCCATGTGAGAAATTTCCTCTTATTTACATCATTAAATTATTTATTAGATTGAAAATATTTTATGCATTAAAGTTTACAAAAAATAAAGATTTATATAGTCGAAAAAAGTCCGATAGAACCAATAGAAATGTAACTATTTTGTCACATCTTTAATTAAATTTTGTTAAATAAATTAATTTTTTATACTATAAATATCTTTTTTTTTCCTAATCTCCTACGAGCTGATATAATATGACGAGCAATCTATTAAATTACTGTGAGATTATACAGAAAAGTCCACAGACTTCGAGACATAGGAAAATCAAGTCCATTTAGCGTGTGTCCAAATTTTGACAAGTTTTCAAAAATGACAGTTTTGTTTAGACTGACGTTTAATTTCACCTGACTTCTCGGTGAATGATTTCTTTTTATGGGGGTACATAAAATCTAAAATTTACGGCCATGAAGAAATTCAAAACTTGGAGCAGTTAAGGCAGAAAATATTTAATGCCTTTGACACTGTCACCCCTGATATGTTATCCAATGTGAGGAGGGGATTTTATGATCGTTTGGGTTATTGTTTAATGCAAGAGGGAGGCACTTTTGAACAATTTTTGTAATTTTTTAAATTTCATTATCCTGTTTTTTTACCGTTTACCCATTACCTACCTTGACGAACATGGGAAAACGAAGGTCCTTTTCAGGACCACAAATATTTTGATTGAGAAAATTGGTAACTTTTTTTTGGATTAAAAAACAAAAGTTGTTAATATAATACCAATTTAAAAGTGTTTTAGTAGTTTTAATACACACTATGATATAAAATTTATTATTATTATAATGTACATTATTAATACTATTGTTCATTCGAAATGGCATTAAGGCCCAATTGCAACAATGATTTAAATTTTTCTTAAAGATAAGTAGAGCTTAGAATGAGCTGTATTTATATTTACTTTATATTCACCTTAAATGAGGGAATTTGACTGATACAATTTTTGAATTTGAATTGTTTTTAATGATACTAACAATTTTAGTTCAATTTTTAATAAAATTTATTTAATATTAATAGAAATCCAAGAGATTTGAAACCTCTTTTAGCGATTTATAACATTCTCAAATGAATTACAGATGCCCTTATTTTCTATGAAAATCACACAGCTTTTTTGATAGTCGCTGCAGTTGCTATAGCTATAAAAAAACTAATTTTTTAATGTGTGAAAATTGCGACACAAGCTAAATGGACTTGATTTTTCGTATGTCTCGAAGTCTGTGGACCTTTTTGTATGCCTCGATAACATATTGGTGCAGATTATTTTCACCCAAACAAATAATAACCCAAACTATCCATTGATGCGGATTGTCTATGAACTCTTTCTGAAGGTCACAGAAACCTGAACGCGTAATTCGGTGTTCTTTCGCATCTGTTATAGGTAATTTGTGACCATGTATACAATATTATATCATGTAATGTGGATATGAAATCTTCATTCATACAAAATTCATACCAGTTAATACATTCGGTAATGTTTATTTTCCTATGTTATGTATATGCATATTACTATTTTTATAACTTAAGCATAACATTTAATATTATTATTTAAATATTATTGTTTGTGTCCATTTTAATTATGATTTTTAAATTTATTAAAATAATAACATTAGGCAAAAAAAATGTTACGGAAGACCAAAAGTTCCTGACGGTATAACATCACTATACTACAAATAGTTTTTCAAGAAGTAAACTATACGGAGTGGCTCTTAAATGCAAATATTTTTAGAGGTGGTATATTTAGCTACAGAAACACGTCTATGAGTTTTATTTCCAGAAAACAATAGAACTCTGAATATAATGACATATGATATGCCATTCTATTGTAGCGTTTTTTTAAAACATCATTACTGCGAACGGCAGCTTTTCGTTGGTAGAGCAGTCGTGGATAAGGTATTTCACTGGAAAGAAACTAATTAACAATAATAACTCGAAATTATAAATATTGGGTGCCAGGCATGTACAGAGAAAGAAAACACAGTTGTATATTACTTAAAACTAATGACTATATTTATTCATGATGTTCTTAGATGGTACATGACATTGTAGAGTTCTAATAAATATATAGTGGTTATATGTCAAAGAAAGTGGTGGTAAGAGTCGTACTAAATATCAATGAAAAACAACTACGATAAAATACAAGACATGTAAAGTTTAAGAGAATATATGAAATGTAGCATTACTTTCATTAATTTGATATATTCCATATGATGCTAAATCGAAGATGATTCTAGAACCTGTAGATTCTAGAATCTATGTTTGGTTATTCATCTGTTAAAATAGTGCGATAATAATATCGATAAAAATAATAGCATTACAAGATGTAATGCAATGAAACCTAAGATCTAAATTATATTTAGTATTAATTATTATATTAAATATTAAATCGACATGAATGTTCTTAACAATCTAACCAGTAAACATAGTCTGTACGATATTATTTAAGATGTACGTAATTGTTGAAGACTGTAAATGTTTTAAATGTTAAATGTAAAACTAGAGCTTAAATCTACACTTAGCTGTTCTTTATGTAATCTTGCTTTAAACAGTAACAGCGTGAGGTGGTCTCGCATCTCTGTACTCAGCTATCCAACACAACCAAAGGGGCCAGAATGAGAACACCATGAATTGATACAGCCGTAACTAACTAGCTTATAGCTGGGAACGAAGCAGCATGGGACTCAAGCTACATCCACGCTGTTGCACTTATATGTAAGAAAAAATCATTCTTACTGGGGACACTCGTCCACAGGACATCCGTACATAAGATAATGTCCGTACATAAGACACTACCCATACCTTGGACCCTAAAAATATGAAACTCTTGTTTAAAACCAAACAAGGTCTAATAAACAAAATAAACCTACCTCGAAATACTTCCGAGGGCTCAATAAATAATAAACAACCTGTCCTTTCTTCCATGTGACATTCTGGAGGACAAAAAAAAAGGGACGCCAACGTGCCAGCAAAATACAAATACAAGTTGGGACATCCGTAACTCTACCCTAAAAATATTCAATAATGATATCGAATCTATAAAAGGCAATAACTCATCTTTACCTGTAGCCTCGAAATAGCAGCTGATTCAAATTACACAGCAAGATTTAAATAATCACCATTTCTAAAAGCTGGGATACAACAGAGCGTCAAAACAAAGTGAGGTTAAGCACGGAGAGAGTTGACAGAAGCGATGTTGACAGCGCCTCCTCAGAGCGATAACAGGGTTGTGTCGAACGATAACAGGGTTGGCGACTAGGGAACGTAAAAATTACGCGTCAAATAAACTATCCGGCCTGAACGAGAGGGAATCCGGTGACGATAGGCCAGACATCATATATTATATGTAAAAAAAACATGTAACGAACTAAAAACGTTACACTATTCAGAGTTCTATTCATTTTCTATCGAATAAAGTAAAAAAATACGGAGAGTTCCATTAAAAAATCAAAAGTTTTAGTCATTTCCGGTGAAACAGGAAGTGACAGAAAACAATTGTATACGTCAATCAATCCTAATTTATGTCATATACTATCATGCCATTTCTTGTATTTTATTTGAAAAAATAAAAAAGTTATAGGGGTGAGCCACTTTTGAAACGCACCCGGTATAATCTGATACTAATGAGAAAAAATAACATAATTTTTTGCAGAGTTTAGGGTTGTTTCTCTTTAGTTTACTGTTAATTTTATTATTCAATCCGATGAATAGGTTCAATATTTGAACTTGTTATATAGGTTCAATATTTGAACACGACTGTTAGGTAATCAAAAAGAAAACACAGTTTTTTTCAATAAAAAATACGTAAATTCTTTATTGAATCAAAAAATCAACCCTCTTAGTAGCATGGCACTACGGTAGGCTTGATGGAGTACTTCTGGCAGGTGCAGTATTTTCCCAATGGAATGCTTGGGGGCAGAGCCAACGGAATAGCGACATCAGGCTGATCGTGGATCTTGGCCGGTGGGGTTGGCGGGCAAGGCACCGAGCTTGGAGCTGGAATAACTGGAGCTGGGAGAGATGGGAAGCTGACCGCTGCAGTTGGCAGAGACAGAGTTGGAGCACCGGTTAATGAAATAGCTGGAGCGGCGGGTCCGGGGATAGCGATTGGTGCACCTGGAAGTGCCACAGCGGGAGCGGGAAGGGGTGCTGGTACAACTGGAGCTGGAGCAGGTGCTGGTAGAACTGCAACAGGCGCTGGGGCTGGTACTACTTCAATAGGAGCGGGTGCTGGAGCTGGTGCAGGCCATGGCAGAGCTACTGGAACAGGTGCAGGTGCTGGGTATGCTACTGGACCAGGAAGTGGGTACGGTTCAGGTGCAGGGGGTCCTGGAAGGTAGACGCATGGTGGTAGAGCCGGTGGTGGAGGTGGCAAGAAGCAAGCAGCATTGACCTGGAAAAGAAAGTAACGTCATTAAAGCACATTAAATTCGTTTTACCCTTTTTATTTCGTAATTATGTCTAATGATTTGTTAATCCCAGAATTTAACATTAAGAACTTCTCTAACTTGTATTAAGAATATCTATGCTAATTGAAATCAGTAATTTATTTCTGTAATTTCGAGGTTTTGAATGAAACTTAGTGTAAATAATTAATGTATTATTTAATTTATGTAATCTAAACTTGACCTTCATGTAAAAAATCTCATTAAACAATTATTATTATTGTTGTTATAGTTTTAATAAGTCTCAAGTTCAAAGGTTCAGTAAACTCTAGATTTATTTAAATAATCAATTATATGATACTGATATAGGTCAGTAAATTATGACATTGTATTTCTATTAAGTTATACAAGACATAATTATTTGAGAAAAACTATATTTTATTAGCAATTTACTGTTTTTGAACACCACACCGTATCTCTAAATATATTTTTTATATTTATGTTAATATAATATAATTAATTAAAATTTAATAATTAAGTTATATTTTGTACTTGAATAAAATAACTTACTTGGTAGCCAACAATGGCGAATACGACAAAAACAAACTTGAAAGCCATGTCGAAGTACTTGTTTGATGTGAATTAGTCAATCAAACTATGCTTTTGTACCGCCATGGGGCTTCTTTTATATTTGTCCACTAGGAAAGATATAAAAAGGAAGTAATAATACGTGATAAATTTTGTTTAAGTTACAGTTGTAGATACATAGGAAGTTTAGAGTTTTTTTCGATTCTTGTTAATTTTCGTTGTTTTGAATTATTAGAAATGTTCGCTAGTTGTAGTTTGGTACCAGTTGAAGTTAGGTACTTTGAATGGTAGTATGAATAAACCGTTAAAAAATATTTTTTTTATATTTTGTTTTTTTCAGTCCAAATAATAAGTTCAACACATGAAGGGACCTTTTTTCCTTCAATAATTTTGGATAATATGTCGTATTGGCCTATATTTTGTTTATATCTTAATTCTTAAGTACTGTGCAAAGTACTAACTTGTGAAAGGTTATGTTTTTTTTGTAAGTCATTTTTACATATGTCTTTAATAAAGAGATTTTGCTGATTTGAAACATAAAAATATAAACAAAGCAAAAATTTACAACTTTGAGAAACACCTCACTGTAGTATTGAGTAATAAAAAGGATTGGAAGAAAGAAACGCTTACTCAGCATATAAAAGACCATACCATCACGTGGTATACTGATGCTTCCAAAACCAAAGCAGGGACAGGGACAGGAGTATTTGGGCCGAAAACTAAATACTCCGAACCAATGGGCACCTACCCCAGTATCCTCCAGGCAGAAATTTACGCTATCGAAAGATGCGTACAATTTATCTTAGATAGGACTTCCCCTAGGAGATGCAAGACCTTGTCGTTGGTGGGGAAGCTCCTGGTCAGGTGCTGGGGGGAATCCCCTCTAGCACTTGGCTTGGTCTAAGAAGCATCTCACTCATCGTCTTGTCCCTGAGTGTAGTGTCGTGGCCAGGGACTTGCACCAAGACATATAACGATACCGGGCGGGGCTACGGACAGCCTCAACCTTGGGGCACCGGGGGGCACCCCATTGTATTTTACCCCTTACTTCTACATGCGAGGCTCTGTAGAAGTGGACCGACTGTCCCTAGCGACTCATAGGAACACTATGAGATCTGGTAATAATAGTAATAAAAAGATCACCTGTGAAGCTGTGGGGAAACCCCCTAGCGACACTGGGAACAGTAACAATGAAAGTTCCAAGGGGCCAAACATAAAGAGAACTACAGGAGAGGTGGCTGACACTTGCGTGAGACCATCCTCCGCAAGTGGCATACAAGCTACCACCTCCTCCAAGGGTCGGGAGCGTACCTCCTACCTCTAAACCCAACAGGCGACACAAGCTACCGTTTCGTCTACCCGGCCTGGGTCGTAGCTCCTCGACTGTGAGGGACACGGGTCTCCGTAGGAAGTCCTGGGACTGTATGATGAGTTATAACTCAAGAAAGGGGGACACAATAGATCTCTAAGGTCGCAGAGATTAACCCCCTCCCACTTATTCTAAATTCTAATCCTAGATAGGAACTATCGAAAACAGGAAATTGTCATCCTATCCTATAGTCAAGCAGCACTTAACGCGATCAACTGAGTAACCATCAATTCGAAGTTGGTCAAAGAATGCCTAGAGAAGCTCAACAAATTAGGCATAGAAAATAAAGTCCTCCTACTCTGGGTGCCTGCTCACCAAGGAATAGAAGGCAATGAAAAAGCAAATGATCTAGCTAGGAAAGGAGCGAACACTCCACTAACTGAACCAGAACCGTTCTGTTTTCCAAACGGGAACCAACTGAAAGCGGAACTGAAGAATCTGGAAGACTATCCGTAACTTGGAATGGGTGTCCTCCAACGGTCTAAGACACTCGAAAAAGTTCCTAAGAACTTACGACCGAGAAAAATCAAAGGTTTTCCTTGATTTAAGTAAAAACAATCTTCGGATTGTCACGGGGTTTCTAACAGGACACTGTCTCCTCAACGAACACCTCAGTAGGCTGAAGCTGAGAAACAACGGCGAATGCAGATTTTGTGGGGAAAATGGGGAAACACTAGAACACCTTTTCATTGAGTGCGCCGAGACGACGACCATTCGTGTCATGAACTTTGGTACGTCTGATGTCGAGGATGGAGAGCTGGCCTCTGTGGAGCCGTGTCAGATACTGGCTTTTGTTGAAGCCCTGAGACTGTATGATGAGTTATAACTCGTTATAACTCAAGAAAGGGTAACACACAATAGGTCTATAAGGTCGCGGTGATTAACTCCCCTCCTAAACATTCTACGTTAACTTGTAAATAAATAACTGTGGTTCAGGGGCGGATACAGGAATTTATTTTAGGAGGGGCCAAATAAAAATTAATTTAGAATTAGAATATGATTTTTAGGGCGCTATTTTTAATCGAAAAGGCTAATATTCAACCCAATTCATAAATTTTAGGGGGGGGGCCTGGGCTCCCTGGGCCCCCGTCTGTATCCGCCACTGGCTGTGGTATGTCAAAGTGAACTTTGAAAGCCTGATTTTTTAATTTTGATTTATTGATACAGAAAAAAATCTCTTGCGCTTGGCAATAGTGCGTCGGGCATCTGTACCTCCTAGTATAAAAGACTTGGGAATTTTGATTAAGTGCAAACCTAAAGTATTTGCTAGGATGTATTACAGGAAAATATTTTAACTTCTACAGGGTGTTTCAAAAAACATGTGCCATCTCTTGTGGGGAGATTCCTCACGTAAAAATACGATTTATTTTACATGTTATCAACATAGGTCTGTTTCTGCTTTGTTTCCTAGCTACAGGGTGTTAAAGCCTTAATATTTTTTTTCGGTTTATTATAATTTTCTTCCAAGTACCTACTTTTAGTGATTCGAATGAAATTTTGAGGGTAAAAGTTATTATAAGTGCTACCTATTTTAGTGCTAAAAAAGTGTCGATAACTGCATCAGGGACGTGCATATGGATTAGATATGGATACTGAAATATTTTTCAAAAAAAAAAAAAACATGTGCGCCACTGACTTTTTTCTTTCGATATCAAAATTGTATAGTCCGCTTAATGCCAATTAAAAGTTATTTCTTGGTATTCTGTCGAATTCGGTCTCCTTGATGAGATAAATGCAATTTTTTAATCACAATTAATAAAGTTAAAATAAAATTAAATTAATAAATTATACATTTTATCTAATTTATTATTAAACTAGCGTGTACCAGCGACTTCGTTCGCGTCGAATTAATCATTTGTAATGGTGATGATAAAGCAAAGCAAGAATTTCCATTAACATACAAACTGGATAAAATTTTCTCACATTTATGTCAGCATGAGAAAAAACAATATGACGATATTATTATATAACTTGGTAATATTTGAGGGGTAGTTTCATCTCGTTGGAATTTGACTTTCGAAAAATCCGTTTGCCAACAATAAGCTTTTTACGTCAAGCAGTTTAAGCAGAAACGTGGTTAAGAAATTACCCAACTTTTTGGAACACCCTGTATGATTTTTTAAAAAAACTCAAAATATGTAAAAAACCAAATAAATTATGCTTGTCCAAGCGTTTTCCCGAAAGAGTAACCGTTTTTTAAATAACAAATATTGCAATATTTGAGGGGCGTTTTCACCCTCTTATAATTTGAGATTCGAGAAACTCCTCCTTATCGAACCTCCTTACCCCACAGTCAATCCATTTGCCAAAAATCAGCTTTAAACGTCTAGCAGTTTAAGCAGAATCGTGATTACTCAATAGTCATATTTTATGAAACACCCTGTATAAATTTTTAAAAAATCTTAAAATATGTAAAACAACAAAATAAAATATACGCGTTTAAGAGTTTTTCCGAAAAACTCACCGGTTTTTAAATAAAAAATATTTTAATATTTGAGGGATAGTTTCACCCCCTTAGAATTCGAGTTTCGAAAAATCCCTTCTGATCGAACCTCTACACCTTAAAGTCAATCTGTTTTCCAAAAATCAGCTTTTTATGTCAAGCGCTTTAAGCAGGAAAAAAATGATTAATCAATGACCAGACTTTTCGAAACACCCTGTATAAATTTTTAAAAAATCTTAAAATATGTAAAAAACATAATAAAATATACGTGTTTAAGCGTTTTTTTTCTGAAACTTGACCGTTTTTTAAATAAAAAAATATTGTAATATTTGAGGGGTGGTTTCACCCTCTTGGAACTGGAATTTCGATAAATCCCTTCTTATCGAACCTCTATACTCTAGAATCAACCTGTATGCCAAAAATGAGCCTCTTACGTTGAGTGGTTTGAGCAGGATCGTGGCTAATCAGTATGTCAGTCACTTAAGGATTTTATATATTAGTATAAATTCATTTTTTGGACCATTTTTATAGACAAAGTGTCACAAAATTCCGTGGACATGAACTACTGCGTATTTTTGTCAAAATAACTGCATTGGAGATTTGAGGTGCCTATGTTTTCTTTGTATGGGAAGGGTAAAAACTACCCACACCCCTACTTATATGATTTGGCTTGCTATGGCCTCTCAAAAATATATATCACTCTATATTTATTTTCACTATTTAATGTAATATTTAAATTTACTTATTGTTACAAATAATGTAGACCAATTTGTAATATATGCTCTACACAAAGTTTATTGTTAAATAAATTAATGAACTTGAACTTAATAGTCGAAATATTTTAACGAGTAATATAAACCGATACCTATTTTATTTCGCAGAATTTATTTAGGTTAAGGTAGGTCAAGTTTAATGAACTAAATAAATAGAATTAAACTATAATAAATATATTCAGTCTATGTCTAGCGATTAAATAAATATACCGTATGATCGAATAAAAACGGCGTGAGCGATGGCTATGAAATGAAGATCGCTGTCATTTTGTCATTTTATGTGTAAATTTATATGGGAAATCTCATCGATCGTCATTTCCCAGCCAACTGGACGCCATTTTTTTCGATCATACGGTACCTCGAACATAAAAATTGAAAATTATAAGCAATATTTTTTTTTGTTATTAGAATGAACTTAAGTACAGGGTGAGACTTAAATAAATGCAAATATTTTGTAAGAAAGACCATAAATCGCATATCGTTGATATATTTTTTTGGTTAATTAGTCCTCTAGTCCTCTATTTCTTAATTTGAAAGTTGGCTTGCAATCCTATTCTGGTCTAGAACAAGTATGGATTCCAGTATTTCTAGGACCAGTAGGTCTTTCTAGGACCTTCGTCCAAAGACCTAATACTAAAATCTCAAAAAATAAAGTGCAAATTAAAGGTCTCTCAACAGGACATATAACTGTTAAGTGCTACCTGAACAAGCTTAACCTGTTTCAAGGCAGTCTTTGCTGCAGACTCTGCTGTAAAGATCTTGAAACAGCAGAGCATATGTCACTGCGAGGCTCTGGATTGCAAGCGACATTTTCTATTTGGAAAAGCAAAGCTAGAACCGGAGGAACTACGCTCCCATCCTATCAAGGACCTGCACAAGCTGGTGCAGGACACAGGGATAGGAGACTGGATGTAGACAAAGAAAGAGGTCAAACACAACAGGCCGTAATTAAATTAATATTGAGATAAAAATGCAGACCTGATATTTTCACCTCAGTGCGGAACTCAAAACTCGAATGGCCAGATGCTACGTCTTCTCTGTGTTACTCTATGGATGTGAGAGCTGGACACTGGATTTACAGACCGAAAAGAGAATAGAAGCCTTCGAAATGTATGTGTACAGACGGCTGCTGCGAATCTCATGGGTGCAAAGGATCACCAACGATGAAGTACTCCAGCGCATGGAGAAACAAAAAGAGATACTGAACAGCATCAAGGAAAGAAAAATGGAATACCTGGGTCATGTGATGAGAGGTGATAGATACGAAATACTGTGCCTCATAATAGAGGGCAAAGTGCAAGGGAAAAGATCAGTAGGAAACCGCCAGAACTCATGGCTAAAATATTTAAGGAGATGGTTTGAACGCTCCTCTCCGGGCTGCAGTTTCCAGAGCCACAATTGCCATTTGGATCGCCAACCTTCGGCAGGACAGGGCGTGATAAGAAGAAGATATTTTGAAAAGTAATTCAGTAAAATAATAGACCCTATAGTGAGACTTATATAATTCTTCATACAGGAAACAGAAATACTATGTTTATGTCTGACCAAACTCCAATGTAACATTCCAAACCTTATTTTAATTGAGTCACATTAAAAATATTTTCATAATTACATAACAACTGTTAAAGAAAATACATATACCCACACAGAAATGAAAATATAATACGGTGACGTTGTCATCCACTTCCTGGAAGAAAAATATCACGTATCTCTTAGTACTTCCCAATAACACTGTTGATAATCGATTCTGTATAAAAATGGACATCTCCATCGATCACAATCATATTCGACCAAAAGTCATATCGATAAAAACATATACAACTAAAAAAAGTCCAAAAAAATGGCTTTCAGATTCATGGTTGCAGTTTTCAGTGTAGTGGCCGTTGCCAACCAAGTAAGTTGATCTTGTTTTTTGATGTTCTCAATTCTATAATACCTATAGATTGTCCAAAAATATGTTTTTTAAAAAGTTTATTTCTTATAATGATATATTTTCAAACTTTGCAAACACACAGAACTTAATTAGGCATTTCGTTTTTGTTTGTTTCATCATCATAAATTAATTATTGTGATTTTAACATTATATAGTTCTTCTCACGCTCCTCGTTTTCGAATTTTGACATTTGACATAGTATATGGTAACGCTTTAGTTTAAAGAAAAAATACCTAGACAGTGAATAAAAATGTGATCTGTGGTAGCCGCTGTTTTTTGATAAGTATTAGAAGTGCATTTATCTTTTCATTCAATTAAAATAAAATATTTTTTTTGATCTAGATTTCTAATGTACATAAATTATTGATCATTTTCTCCGGGTATTTCTGTGTGTACAGGGCGGTCCGAACTGTATTCCGGAATGTATAGGTTCGCATAAATATCTATGTCCTAAAATGCTTAGTTTCGGAGATACAGGATGTGGAAGTTTCATTTTTATATGGATTTTTATCTAGGTGGTTTGGAGGGTAATAACTTTTCGTCTGTACCTGTATAAAACTACTGAGTGAAGAAATATATATATCCGTAATTTTTTTACGTGAAAAATGTCTCTTGATAAAAATCGCTAAGAAACCTGTCAAATTTCTGATTTCAGTCTAATAACTATTTAGTCAACATGTTTAATTTATGTCAATGATGACAGGTATTAATAATTTAGATTCTAAATATCTTGACAACCATTTACTCGTAGCGATTTTTACCAAAATACCTTTTTTACGTAAGAAACGTAGTAAATGTATGGTCTTTACTCAGTAGTTTTATACAGGTACGGACGAAAAGTTATTACTCTTCAAATCAGTTAAAAATATGTAGGTGGCGCCGCAGACAAGTAGGCGTCATATTGACATCAAAATCAAATTTATCATGCCAAAAAACTCCCACATACCAGTTTTCATCCAAATTTTGACGTTACTTCAGATATTATTTGGAAAAAATCGAAATAAAAATGAAAGTTCTACGCCCTGTATCTCCGAAACTAAACCTTTTAGGACATACATTTACACGACCATTTTATCTGCAGAATATGCTACCGAAGTTCCCGGAACAAAGTTCCGACCACCCTGTATAGTAAATTAAAATATAGTTAATTCATGTTAGGGACTACAAAGGTAGGATTATAACATTCAAAATAATGCCTAATATGTTTATATCGCTTTGTAATTAACTAATTTTGTTCAGAATTGTTTTAATCAACTTAACTAAATCGAGAAATCTGCTAAGCTATAATAATAATTCTACCTTTATGCTGCCTACATTCGATTTATTAAATTTTAATTGTTTAATTTCATTTCAAATTTAAGTTGTAAGCAATTTCATTTTCAATTAACCGACTGACATTTGATTGTTTTATTCTCGAAAGCTTTTAAATATTCATTATTAAAAACAGAGAGACTAGGATCGACATCAATAAAATTAAATAAAAAAAGTAAAAAATTAAATGCCGAAAATTATTTACGTATGTTCATTGACGAGTTGAAGTTAGACTTGTTGAAGTTATTCTTACATTTTAACTTGAACTATAACAAACAAAATATAATATATATATATATATATATATATATATATATATATATATATATATATATATATATATATATATATATATATATATATATATTAATAAATATATATATATATATATATATATATATATATATAGAATATAGTAGATAAGTACAATTCTAATTTCGTTTTTCTTTTACAGTGCAACGCTGACTGTATCCCCCTTCCACCTCCGTGCCTACCTTTACCTCCTGCACCCTTACCCCCTGCTCCTCTCCCATCTTGTCCCCCAGCTACAATTTCCCTTCCCGCTCCCATAGTACTACCTGCACCTGCTCCTTTACCCCCCGTCTATGCTCCTGCCCCTGTATACGCACCCGCACCGGTATATGCACCTGCACCTTTACCAGCACCTGCACCAGTATATGCGCCAGCACCTGCAACGACTTACACTGTCCCAATTGCGTCTTCTATTCCTCTCAACCTTCCTGCATTGACTATTCCCGGACCGGAAGCACCTAAACTGTCCCTGAGCGGTGCTCCAAGCTTGTCCCTTCCTACCGCTGCTATCTCTGTACCTGCCGCACCAGCCGTGGCGTTGCCTCCTCTGCCAGGCAAGATCGCTTGCCCACCTGAGCCGAGCCCACAAATTATCGACCATCCCGATGTCGATATTCCTTTGGTGTTGCCAGCCGATATTCCATTGGGTAAATACTGCGCCTGCCAGAAATACCAGATCAAACCATCGGTTGTGCCATGTGGAAAATAAGTCTGAAGAATAGAAGAAGTTTTTTTCTGAATAAATAAAATCATACTTTTTTCTCAATTCATATATGTTTTATTTGTGCCTCCTTAGACTGTGATAATAGTTTTAAAAATACATTATAATTCCCAATCATAAATACCCACTCGTTCATTAGTTGTTATTCTCTCTTTGAACAAAACTTGATTGTACCCAATTATATTCACCATTCCTCTAAATTTTCCTGCATTACCTGATCCTAGATTAGAAGCATTTAAGCTGTTTATAAACGGTCCTCTAAGTGGGTCTCTTTCCTACTGCTTTCTTCTTTTCAAATAAACTGTATCTTTTTATTCATTTCATTGCCTCCTGTATCATCAGCTGTATCTGATAGTTCATTTGATCTCAAAAAGACGACTTGTCTGCCAAATCATTATCAAGAAGACTGATTATGAAGACCTCTGACGTCGATATTTCTTTAGTAATGCTTGAACATCTCTACCAGCACTTGTACTAACCTATAGGGTACAAGTTGTATCCACCATTCCTTTCAACCTTCCTATATTGACTGTTCCCGGATCTGAAGCACATAACCTGTCTCTGAGCGGTGTTCAAAGATTGTTCCTTGCTACTGCTGCTATCTCTGTACCTGCCGCACCAGCCGTCGCGTTGCCTCCTCTGCCAGGCAAGATCGCTTGCCCACCTGAGCCGAGCCCACAAATTATCGACCATCCCGATGTCGATATTCCTTTGGTGTTGCCAGCTGATATTCCATTGGGTAAATACTGCGCCTGCCAGAAATACCAGATCAAACCATCGGTTGTGCCATGTGGAAAATAAGTCTGAAGAATAGAAGAAGTTTTTTTTCTGAATAAATAAAATCATACTTTTTTCTCAATTCATATATGTTTTATTTGTGCCTCCTTAGACTGTGATAATAGTTTTAAAAATACATTATAATTCCCAATCATAAATACCCACTCGTTCATTAGTTGTTATCCTCTCTTTGAACAAAACTAGATTGTACCCAATTATATTCACCATTCCTCTAAATTTTCCTGCATTACCTGATCCTAGATTAGAAGCATTTAAGTTGTCTATAAACGGTCCTCTAGGTGTGTCTCTTTCCTACTGCTTTCTTCTTTTCAAATAAACTGTATCTTTTTATTCATTTCACTGCCTCCTGTATCATCAGCTGTGTCTGATAGTTCATTTGATCTCAAAAAGACGACTTGTCTACCAAATCATTATCAAGAAGACTGATTATGAAGACCTCTGACGTCGATATTTCTTTAGTAATGCTTGAACATCTCTACCAGCACTTGTACTAACCTATAGGGTACAAGTTGTATCCACCATTCCTTTCAACCTTCTTATATTGATTGTTCCCTGACCTGAAGCACCTAACCTGTCTCTGAGCGGTGTTCAAAGCTTGCCCCTTGCTGCTGCTGCTATCTCTGTACCTGCCGCATCAGCCGTGGCGTTGCCTCCTCTGCCAGGCAAGATCGCTTGCCCACCTGAGCCGAGCCCACAAATTATCGACCATCCCGATGTCGATGTTCCTTTGGTGTTGCCAGCTGATATTCCATTTGGTAAATACTGCGCCTGCCAGAAATACCAGATCAAACCATCGGTTGTGCCATGTGGAAAATAAGTCTGAAGAATAGAAGAAGTTTTTTTGTGAATAAATAAAGTCATACTTTTTCTCAATTCATATATGTTTTATTTGTGCCTCCTAGACTGTGATAATAATTTTAAAGATACGTTTAAATATGTAGATTTATCATAATAACTTGGATACGAGCTTTCTTCATAGTTTCATCCTCTTTTTAAACAAAACTGTATTGTCACAACTGGGTATTCAACAAGTTTTCCTGTCTTCAAATAAAGAGTATCTTTATTATCTTTATTCATTTCATTTCCTCCTGTATCATTAGTTGTGTCCTGCTATGTCTGATGCACCCAAAGGATGCACCATTTCGGTTTCGGCAGCCGATTTAACTTGTATTCAAACAATCCTGCTATATATACTCTTGCCATCTATGAGTGAATTTTAGAACATTTTAAAAATTCCTGCAGTGTCTGTAGCGTTAACTCTTGATGTTTAACGACAGATGGGATAATATATATTTTTTTGAATATTTTTAAATAAAATACAAAATATTACAACAATTTTCTTGTTATTTATAAACTTACTCATTAAAAATACAAATATTTAAGTAATATTTATAAATTATATTAGGTCATGTTTTATATATCTTCGTATGGTTTATAAATGATTACATAAATATTTTATGTTAAATATAAAATTGTTTAACGTATAATTTTAAACTATATATTAACAACATTTTTCGGTATAATATCTCAGACAATTAGATACTACAGGGTGATGTAGAATGTAAAATTTATGGGAGGTGGGTAAGTAACTGCGATCTTACAGATCTGTTATGTCCCCCTTTCTTGAGTTATAACTCATTTTATTGGCTTAGACCATAGGCTTACTTAATTACTGCCATTACTCGCTGACGAGTATTTGGCACGCATCAGAAGTTGGTTACGCAAGGCGTTTGCTTTCATGAACTTTTCTGTGAAGAAAAGATTGGTTTCTTCGAAGCGTGTTGTTGGCGATCTGTTCCAACAAAGCCTGTATATGCGGTTAATTTTCGTTAAACCAGTCTGGTTGTTTTATTTGTGGCATTTTTCCAGTACTGCTTCGCTGGTACTATAAATCGCATCCCTCAATTGTGTCCAGCCTTCTTCAGCGTCCGAAATTGACGTTACCGGTGGAAGTGATTCTTTGATATCTTTCCAGAGGGGCGTAGGCGGTGTCGTTGTTCTTTAGACTGGTCATGTTATTTTGCTTTTTTACAGTTTTGATGTTTGGGTTTTAACTGGATTTTCCTTTTTGAAATTAATTCGGTGGTCGGTACCATTCGGCATCTATTCTGGATTTTGTGAGTCTGACATCTTTTAGAGGCGTCCTTCGAACGATTACGTGGTCCAATTGATGCCTGGTCTGGGATGTTTCCAGGTTCCTTTAAAATTGTCTTACGGCATGAACCATGTTTTAAGCAAACCGACAGTTTTGTTGTAAAACTCAATGATCCAGTCAGTTCTCTAGAAGGTCAGGTAAGACTGCCAGGTAAAACGTTACGTCTAGACGGAGCTTTAAAACAAATTTTTCTATATACTGTTATAGTTTTTGCTAGAAAAAAATGGAATAACAAGCTTATTACATTATTGTTATTGTTACTAATAAATAATAATGATACATATAATGATACGTATTGCAAAATTATAAATTTAGCAACAAATTCTTTGAAACCGCAAATATGTGCTAGTACCATCATTTTATTGGTACAAAATGGGAACAGCCAACCAAACGCTATTGTACCATCATCGGTACCATTGACCCCAACCAGTACCGCGGTAGTACAGTTACAAAATGTGAACCGTTAATTCCTCGACTTTATACTAACTTATCACACTAAAATCTTTAACTGACAACACTATCAATGTAATTATTCGACGAAAACATGAAATAGCATGCGTTTTGAGTGTTTGCGCGTGAAAAAAAGTACGAAAATGCCTAAAAAACATGCTTCTAATGTCGAAAATCTTGTTTGTGTTCGGATGTGTGCAGCCCGTGTGGTGTTTGTGGAGTTTTTGGAAGCTAGATGATGTGTGGAAACGGAAAAGCGTATTGCAAGATGTGGAGCTGGGTGGATATTTTAAGGACGTTACAGGTAGGTGCCTGTTTAAAATAGTATTCAGGATAGCCGACTGTATTCCGGAAATTTCGGCAGCATATTCTGCAGTTAAAAATAAGTAAAAAAGTTCGTATAAATATATGTCCTTAAATGATTAGTTTCGGAGATACAGTGTGTAAAAGTTTTAAAATATTATAACAATATCATGTTATTTATAAACTTCCTTATTATAAATATAAATATTTAAGTAATATTTATAAATTATTGCAGGTCATGTTTTATAGATACTATCTTCATATGGCCAATCTCTAGATATTATTTACTAAAATTTATAAAATATTAACGCTTATTAATAATATTAAAGAAAGATTAAAAAAGGATACTCGAATTTTAAACTACATAAACTAGCAGTAAGCGCCATTAAAATATAAAGAAGAGCACGGGCCAAGTAAATAACGCCTAGGGCTTGACCTCGCCAAAATTGTCATCGGTTGTCATTCCCCTGCCGTCTTCGACGCCGTTTTTTTTTCGATCGTCTGGTACAAGCCGCCGATGTCAGATTTTTAATCTTGTTCCTTTTTAGGTAGAGTTTTTGTCACGATGTTCGGCTATCCATCCAGATGTCAAAGGAAGGGGTTTTCCCACGCTTGTACACTCTCAGTGGCTTGCTGGTGGGTAGGGGGGTCCAGCCAATCTGGATGCGGTGCCAGTCCTTGGATAGTAGCCTGCTGTGTCAAACATATCAAGAAAAAGGATGAGGAGGAGTTGTACGATATGGATTATTCTGAAAATGAAATCCAGTAAGTTATGTAAAGCTTCGTCTAAAGGCTCCCACAGACGCTCAGGCCGGTTGACCAGAAACCGTGCTTGGATTTGGCCTGTGCAAACTTCGATTCCCAAACCTATACAGGGTGCTACAAAATTGAGAGAGTTTTTTGGAAAAAACGGATTTTTTTGAAAAACAATTTTATTTTCTTCTGTTGTTACTTTTTAGAAAATCAAAAAACTAATTTCACATTCTCATAGCCACTTGATTAGGGCTATCTCATAGTATTTTTAGATTTTCGAATTAGCTGATAATTTGTGAGATACAGAGGTCAACTTATTTTTTTTTAAATACGGACCTGCATTTTTTATTTCGGGTTTTGAAAGAACTTGGTCTTTTGAGAACAATAACACTTGATACTATTTTTTTTTGTTTTGGGTACCTTAACAATAACAAAATAATACTAATTAATTATTATTTAAAATAATTAAAACAATATTGTTCAGCGCTAATTAACATTGAATAAAAAAAACCAATCGAATTGAAAGATTCAAATAAATAATATACAGGTCAACCTTTTTTAATATGAATTTTAAATCTCAGTGTACAATCTAATAATATGCATAATATTAATCGTAGTTATTATAAATAAATCAACTTCTACAAACTAGTTTCTAATGCTCTACATGTTCGAAAGTGTTACCACCCTCCATAATGCACAAATTTATTTTTTGTTCAATCTTTGTTATAGCTCTTTGAACAGATCTTCTTCTTATACTTCCGAATGCATTTTGTACTCTTTATTGTAAATGTTGAAATGTACATACGTACTTTTACACGTCTAAGTAATGCTCCCCCCCTCCTCCAATTTATTGGCATTAACCAAGGATACTATAGAGATAAGGATAGTTCGATTCCTATCTTCCTGCACTGTCAGTTTTTTTACGTCATCTACTGACCGAGTTGAAGTTGGCGCTAAAGATTTTAGACAGTGACAGTTATTTTTGCATTTGACGGACGAGCGCACAGTGCGTTGGAAGATAAATTTAGCGGGACAAAAGCGTTTGGTTAGAAATAAGCCAAAAAATGTGTACTGATAAGAATAAATAGTAGACATTCCAATTGATAAAAAATGCATGAATATTCTTTGTATTTCGATACATTTTTATCAACCAAATTTGGTCGTTTTCTGCTCAGCAAGGCAGAGATCATACGAAAACAAAATATTTACAAATGCTTATACATTTTATTAGAAAGCCAAATTATGTTGAAGATTGCCAAAGGTATGTACTTTTCTACTGTATGTATATTATTTGTTAAAATCCTTCGTGCCTTTGTTCTGCAGATATCAAACTTACACTTTTTTTTCAAATATCGATATATTGAATGATGTAGATCTTTTGAGTTACCAATAGTTACCAACACAGGTAGTCGCAGTCACAGGGAGTTCAAGCTTAACAGGTGAATGCCCAAAAAGATTCATTTCAATCGGATAGTATAAAAACAAAACAACTCCATCAAAAGGCACTGAGTTTAAAAAATTGTCTTAGATACTTAATATATGAATTTACAATTACCGAGTGTTAAAATTAAAATTAAAATATCTATCTTATTTATTATTTTCAAAATAAAATATATTTTTTTAAAATAAATTATAGAGGGTGTCACAAGATTACAAATTAATTTAAAAATAACTGCTAAAGAGTTTTTTGATATCATAATTTTATGTATTTGGCAATAGTTTACAATACGGTTTTTGTGTATCATGTACGAATAATATCATAGTTTTATTATCTTGTATTTATTTATTAATAAATTAAGTTGTTAATAAATAAATAAATTTAACCATATAGTTGCTATATATTAGACCATTTGCTACGTTCTTAGATTTTAAGTCCCAAACATTGCTCTTGAGATTTTGTCCCGCTAGAATAACCATCCGCCGCACTGTGGAGCGCTGGTCATTTGACAGGTCATTTGACAGCGGCGATTTGACGCGATCGAACAGTCCTTTAGAGTATATACAGTCCTTGGGCATTAACTACATAAAAGCAGCCATGGTTACGGAAATTGGAAAATAAAGATAAAACTAAAGATAAAGTAAATATAAAGATAAAACCTAAAATTAAAACTAGTTTTAATCATTTGCTGATAATGCTAACATAAAACAACGTTTAAACCTGGTTTAAACTATCAAATTTTTATTTATTTAGGATTAAAGACAAATCAGTTATGGCACCTATGGAAAGAAGAAACGGGTTGTTCGATATAGAAGATGATAATTGTGGCATATCGAATGACAGGATAATGCAGAAGAGAATCGTTGGTGGAAAAGAAGCCAGATTTGGTCAATTTCCATGGCAAGCTTACATTAAAGTATCCAATTACCAATGTGGAGGTGTTATAGGTAATTATTATAGATTAAAAATCATACCTTCTATACAGGGTGGGCCACTGAAAACTTACAATGACTATGATTAAACCAAGAAAGATATCAAAAAAATAAAAAATACCGTTTCTATGATATCGAAGGGGAATACATATGACGTATTTTTTGAACCACCCCGACCTACCCCTTAGGCGGCACCCCTACTCACTTGAAGATCTTAAATGGCAATACCCCACTTGTGGCGCCTTTTTGGAAAGCCCATGAAAAATTCTAAACGACGATCATAACGTTTTTAGGGTGAAATTGAAAAACTACCCCTTACACGAAAAATTAGGCGGACATTAATGAAAAAAGTAATTTTTTCAGCATAAGTTACAATTTGGGACCCAGCTAAATGAGGCAAATGAGGCATTTTTTAAACCACCCCGACCCACCCCTAGGTGCCATCTCCTCACTTCTAATTTCATCAATGCCATTTTTAAATGTAGATAATAAAAAAGGCAACACAAAGATGTTTTTACAGCCTAATTTTGCTATAACGCAAATTCTTCCTTATCGTCTATTTTTTTACTTTCAACAAACAGGAATCTTAAACCGGCATATCTTTGCGTTTTTGCACTGTCTTCGATTGTCAATCGTTTGTAAATTTGGTGGTATTTTAAACGTTTATTTGATTCGCTTATTTGAAAGAAAAATGGTTTATACTGTGGAAGAAAGAATTCAAATAGTTTTTCTTTATGGTGCTGAAGGTATGTGTTATTTGAGAACGACCCGTGCTTTCAATGAGAGTAATCCGGACAAAAACGTAAGTCACGTTTATGTTAGAGATTTGATTTAAAAGTTTCAAGAAACTGGGTCGGTCAAAAATAAAACAAGGACAGGGCCCAGGGTACTGAATGAAGAAATGCAGATGGAAGTTATTGGTCAGGTATCGGTCAATCCAGAAGCATCAACACGCCAGTTGGAATTAATCACAGGTATACCTCGAACATCTGTCAGGAGAGTATTGAAAATGCACAAATTCCATCCCTACAAAATGAAGATTCTGCAGGAACTTGGCGACGACGATCCAGATAGAAGGATTCAGTTCTGTGAACTAATGACGGAGGAAATTCGAAGGGAACCTTCACTTACTAAAAATATTTGTTTTAGTGATGAGTGCTCATTTTTTTAAACGGAATTGTGAATAAGCAGAACTGCATATACTGGAGCGATGAGAATCCGCATATTGTTGTTGAAGGACACACCCAACATCCCAAAAAGCTCAATGTTTGGTGTGGAATACTAGGCGATAAAATTATAGGTCCATTTTTCATCGACGGAAATTTGACTGGTGATGCTTATGTGGAAATGCTGAACAATTTGATAGAGCTAGCCATTGTAAATGAGGTTGAAAATCAAAGAGATTTGGAAGGAAATTTAACTCTTAATGAAGACCTCATACACTTTCAGCAAGATGAAGCCCCTCCGCATTATTCTATTGTCACAAGGCGGTGGTTGGATAGATATTATCCAAGGCAATGGATTGGCAGAAGGGGTCCAATCGAGTGGCCGCCAAGGTCACCTTATCTAACTCCTTTAGACTTTTTCTTGTGGGGTTACACTAAATCCATGGTCTACAAGACAAAACCAGGTTCGTTGCAAGAATTGCGGCAGAGGATAACTGAAGCATGTCGAAATATTCCGAGAGAGACTTTCCAAAAAGTGAGAGAAGAATTTGAAAATCGTTTGTATTTTTGTATGGAACAAAAGGGCTGTCATTTTGAGCAATTGTTAAAATAAATTATCATTTTAAATTTCTTTCAAATTGTCAAACCTACATTTCTTATCACTACTTACCAGTAATTGTTGAAAGAAGACAGAAGTTGAAATCTGTATGACCATCGTTTAGCAATTTCAATTAGCTTTCCAAAGAAGTGGCACAAGTGGGGTATCGCTATCTTGAGATTAGAAGTGAGTGGGTGGTGGCACCTAGGGGTGGTCGGGGAAAAATACCTCATTTGCCTCATTAAACTGGGTCCCAATTTGTAATTTATGCTGAAAGAATCACTTTTTTCATTAATGTCCACCTAATTTTTCGTGTAAGGGGTAGTTTTTCAATTTCATCCTAAAAACTTTATGATCATCGTTTAGCATTTTTCATGGGCTTTCCAAAAAGGCGTCACAAGTGGGGTGTTGCCATTTAAGATTTTCAAGTGAGTAGGGGTGCCGCCTAAGGGGTAGGTCGGGGTGGTTCAAAAAATACGTCATATGTATTCCCCCTCGATATTATAGAAACTGTATTTTTTATTTTTTGATATCTTTTTTGCTTTAAGAATTATAGCCATTGTAAGTTTTCAGTGGCCCACCCTGTATAAGCAATCTTGGGAGAGCCAATATGGTAATGAATTCACATTGGGTCTACCACAAGTCAGATTTTTAGTATAATTCGGCTATTTAACCAAGAACGAATATTGTTAAAAAACAGATTTGATTTCTTTACAATTTCTGTTGCGATAACGTTTGAGTTAATGTTAATTAAAGTTTTACTTAATTCTATTCATCTAGAAAGTATCCGGAAAAAATAAACCAAAATTACAATTATCGATATATATTTTTAGGACTTGAGTTAAAAAAATATAACAAATTATTAATTTTATTTACTTATGCAACCTCCATTTAACTCCAAACACTTAACTAAACGTCCAGGATACACCTGAAACTAGGTCCAAACCATAATGTTCAGTGGTGGTAGTCCAGGCCTGTAAAACTGAGCGAATCAAATCTTGTTTATTTCGTGGAGCTGCTCGTTCCACTTCAATCTTCATTACACAACCTACGTGATGGATTACTGTTGTCTTAGAGTGTTACAGAAAAAAAATACATTAAAATTAGGAAAAATATACAATTCCGGATACTTTCCAGACGGACTATACTATACAAACAAAAGCCTAAAAGTTCCGAACATTTTTAATGTTTATAGTTTCCAGAAAATACGTAGCTACAGCTGCCCATTGTATTTTCACAGCCAAACTGTCCGATATCTTGGTGTATTTAGGCGAGTTGGATACGGAGGATAGTAGAAAAATCGAAGAACCCCAACCAGCTGAACTACACAGGGTAAACTTTACTCAAAATATTACATATTAATAACCGTTTATTAAAGCAAATGTAGAAATTTCACCTCACTAACACTTGTAATTGAAGTACAGGAGGCTCTTGTTTTAAGCGAAAGTTACGTTCCTTAAAGAAAACACCGTGTTAAAAATCTACATTGACATAATTTTTCTATTGTCTCTTTTCCAAATGGTAAAAAATTCGAAAAGACCCCTATCTCAGTTGGCAGTGAAAATATCAACAGGCGGTTTACGCCACTAAACGCCGTGACATCTATGTCCATTTTGCTCTATCTAGTCAGGAAACAGGTTTTCTCTGTTAAAACAGACCAATTTCGATCACCCTGTATAGTATTGAGCCTTTAACTATTTCTGAGCTCGGGGTTGGCAGATAAAGATCGTGCTCCGCATTCCTATGGATAGCTGTGAGGTGGCCTTTCGGGAATAGCAGATATGTGCTTGCGGATTAAGCAAACGGATTCAAAAAGGAAGAGTCAGTATTTTGAAATTTTTAAAGAAATTCTGGCAGTGAGTTCTACTGTTCAGTCCCAATAAATATCTCTCTATCTCTTTTGAAGTTTGAAAGTACGATCAAATTTTGTCGCGCAGCAAGTAAGGAAGGAAGGGCGTAATAGACTATTCTAGAATTGATAAGTTAAGTTCCTTAAAAACTGATCTTAACAGGCAAAACAGGCAGCGCTTAATTTCTTTTATAAAGCTTATATTAAACTTTAAAAAATAAATGAATTTTGTTTTTAAAGATGTTATAATATTTATTATTTATATGCATATGCATGCAGCTGTATACAAAACAATATAATTTGTCTATATAATTTGTTTCATAATAATTTTATTAATTATATATAATATAAACAATAGATGGTTGACTCTATAATACCACAATGTTGTTCATGTTCACCACAATGCACCAATTCCGAATTCGCCCCGTTTTTCATGAACTAAGGGGATACATCTATGTAACATAGTGATATGACATAGATTTATTTCACAGATTTTTTTGTAATTTTAGGTGAAGAAATTACTGATTCATCCCAAGTTTGAATACAAAGCAACCCAACCTGACAGATTCGATTTGGCGCTATTGGAACTAGTGACAGAAGCAGGCTTCAACTTCCACATTTCCTCCATTTGTTTGCCGGATAAGAACATCAAACTGACAGCTAGAGATGCGGTAGTAGCCGGGTGGGGCAAAGTCAACCCGTGGGATAAGGTGATGGGCACAAATATACTCAGAAGTGTTGCAGTTCCTATTTTAGGTAAAATCAATTTTAAATTAGTATGTCTTACCACTTTATTATTTTGTTTTAATTGTAACATGCATATAGACATTCAAAAATTAATTTTTTGAAGAGCAATTTGTTGAAATATTTAATGTAATCTTTTGGTGTGATGTTATTTTACAGATATAAGAGAATGCAGAGCCTGGCATAAGATAAAACAAATAGACGTTGATCTGCATTCAGAAATGATATGTGGAGGTCACAAGGAAGGCAAACGCGATGCCTGTCTTGGCGATTCTGGAGGACCATTGATTGTTTTAGAAAAAGGTACATAATTTATTGAGTTACAATTTAAAAAAAATGGTCAAATTCAACTATAAAGAGTATACAAGGTGTTTCATAAAACATGTGCCATCTCTCGTGGGGAGATTCCTCGCGTAAAAATAAGATTTATTTTTTATATCAACATTCATAGCTACAGGGTGTTAAAGTTTTGATATTTTTTCGATTTATTATAATTTTTAAATCAAGTTCCAGAAATGAAATCTTTAGTGTTTTAATTTTCTTTACTTATTTTCCTTAGATAATTTTCTTTTATATTTCAGGTCGTTGGACTTTGGTAGGAATAACCAGCGCTGGATTTGGTTGCGGTGAAGCACAACAACCTGGAATTTACCACAAGATCCCTACGACTGTGGACTGGATAAAAACCATCATTCATAACCAATTGTGATAAATAATACTCATTATATTTAGTTTCTATAATATTGTAATTATATTTATTATTGTAACGCAATCTTACAAAACTCAATAACCTATTTATTAAAAAAAAAAGATTAATTTAAAGTGTTAAGTGTTTTCGTTTAGTGATTCGGTTTGCACAAACCTACCTACCCTACTTTCATAGTTTTCTTTGTTTTTGAGCTACAGAGCCTTTTTGATGATTTTGCAATTTGAGTCACCCCTGTATCTCTGTTATTGCGAAAGGTATCGAGAAGGTGAAAACTGATTCCCATAAAACTTCTTACGTAGACTACAGTGGCGTAGATACTTTTAAATACTGCAAGAGAAAATATAACTTTAGTTTATATTTTCAAAGATATTTTTTTCTTGACTTCTGTGACTTCGCCACTGTATTCTACGTACTGCAGTTTTTATCTTATTGATACTTTTTGCAATAATAGAGGTGCGGGGTGTGTTCCAAATTGCAAAATTTTCAAAAAGACCCTGTAAATCAGAAACGAAGAGAGCTATGAAAATTTTGTTTACAGCCTCTTCCATTTGATAAAAAAACTGTAACAGGTTCGTGCAAACAGCATTCTTCTATCTTAGTTCAGTCATTGGGGATCAAAAAAGGGGCCTGCTTTGCAGGTTTATAGGTTTTGGGGTCCCTAATTAAAATCGGGGCCCAAAATCGGTATTTTGTGAATATCTCGAAAACTATGCGTTTTTCAAAAATTTGAGGAGAGCAAAATTAAAGAGAATAAAATTTGCAAAATTAAGGAGATAAAAATTTTCGCTAAAGTCAAGCGTTTAGGCACAAAATACCTGGAAATTTTACAATTTTGAGTAAAATATGATATATTATGTATAGTCGATTTTCCGAAATCAAATGTCGATTAGGGTTCACTAAAACTAGTTTTAGTTTAGTTTCTTCAATTTTGTCATAAAACAGTGGCGTATCATATATATCATAGTGATTTCGGAAAATCGACTATACGTAATATATCATATTTTACGCAAAATTGTAAAATTTCCAGGGATGTTGTGCCTAAACGGTTGACTTTAGCGAAATTTCTCATAGAACCTTTTTTATAGGAAATTTTATTCTCTTTAATTTTGCTCTCCTCAAATTTTTGCGAAAAACGCATAGTTTTCGAGATATTCACAAAATACCGATTTTGGGCGCCAAGTCTGGAAATTTGCATTTTATGGATTTTAGTTAGGGACCCCAAAACCTATAAACCTGCAAAGTTGCAAAACTGAACTATCTTCACTCATAGCGAGTTAGGAAATACCGTATGATTTCAACCAACCTGTACAGAATATTAAAATATTTTCTTAAAAAGAATCCCGTTATTTTTGTAAATAAGTCCTCTACTATTTTTAATTGTAATACAATTTGTTATGCCCTTCCATTTCTGGGATACTTGCTGTGCGACAAAATTTGATCGTATTTTCAAACTTCAAAAGAGAGCAGTTCGATATTTATTGCGACTGAACAATAGAACTCACTGCCATTTCTTTAAACATTTCATAATACTGACTCTCTATATCCTCCTTCTTTATTCATTTTTGAATCCGTTTGCTTAATCCGCAAGCACATATCTGCTATTCCCGAAAGGCCATCTCATAACTATCCACTTAGGAATGCAAAGCACGATCTTTATCTGCCAACCCCGAGCTCAGAACTAGTTAAAGGACCAATACTGTACAATGCCAAAAAAATGTACAATCATCTGCCTTTGAATATCAAGTCGCTTTCATTCTTTCCCCCATTTCGCAAACCTCTGAAATCATACTTACTGGAGAGAGGTATCTAGGTAGAGAATATATGAGGTAAACGACTTTTTTGTTGATGTTTAATCCTGAACAATTTTGAATTTTAAAATTTTGATCAGCCCACACACTGGTAAAATAAGGCTAGTTTTTAATATTATATGACTCTCTCTCTCTCTTAAATGATTATATCCATTTACAATTTTCCTATTGTAAAATTTTATTGATATGCCTTTTTATGTGTTCTGCAATGTCCATGTATTAATGTAGTAATTTTAATGACGTAAATTTTTTGGAATTGTATGATATTTGTTTATTATTTGTATATTTTTGTTCATTTGATTATTTTGTAAATGATTTTGTTTGTTTTGTAAATGATTTCGTCGATGAAGCTATTTTGGCCTTTTGTACAATAAAGCGTTATTTATTATTATTATTATGGAGAAACTTCAAAACACTTCACTGAGACAACAAGCATTCGTGCCATAATATTTAAAATAAACTGATATCGGTGTTAGAGATCTAACACCGATATTATTATCTGTGATATTATCTTTCTGTGAAACGGTCTCAGATACTGGCTTTTGTCAAAGCCCTGAAACTGTATTATGACTTATAATTCAAGAAAAGGAGATACGATAGATCTATAATGTCGTGGTGATTAACCTTATACCACAGATTATACAGATTACAAACTTTGTTTGTTCTTTATTGTTTTTCGTGGTTCCAATTTTCGGAATCGGGCACTAGTTAGGTTACTAGTTTGCGCACATAGCACGCCCACTTATGGCCTGTATAATTGTTGACCGGCACAGTTATTAGAGAGATATCGGAAAACCGAATAGCGTCATGCAGTATTAACGCGTACCTTATTATGGTTACGATATGGGCGAGTCAATTTTTAACGCAACACCCGCTAATAACGTTACCGCCTGACGTAATTTGCGGATTAGTTACACCAAGCGCTATTTCTAACGTTTAAAAATTGCTTAAATGGGCATGTGCGGGTATTTGACAACCGGGGCCGACTGGCGAGATCTTTTATTTTAGGTTATGTTTGAATTGTTTTGAATTATTACTTTAGTTTTATTAGGTAATTTGATATTTAAGTAGCTGGGACTAGTTTTAACTAAATAAATATGGTCCAAAATAAGGATTCCACCTCTTCCAATATTAAAGAACCTATAAAGAGGCTTAGGTTTACAGCAGATGACGACTTAGCCCTTCTAAAAGAATTTGTTGCTTGTTGCCCTAAACCCACTGGCAGACGTTGAACAATAAAGCACTGGAAATAAGCATTTTAGCCCTTTAGTTTTAAAATACCTAGTTAACAAAACAATTTCAAAGTTTTAAATTCAAAGTTAGGTAAGTTTAAATAGCGGACGTTATACGCGAACAGAATTCTTTCCGATCCGATAACTATAAATGAAGAGAGTTAATAGCACCTCACGTAAAGGAAATAACACCTGGCCTTATTAACGTCCATGCACGCTATTCGGTTTAGCGATATCTCTCTATTACGCTGTTTATTGTTATTTTACGCGAGTTTATTTTTGCTCACAGGAAATTTTACTCGTTTGCACATCCTTACAAAAAACAATTTTCGTACTTTCTTTTACAAGATTTTTATCTGTATACTTATAGAGGATATCTAATCTGTGCTTATACAATCTACAATGTAGTTTTTTTTCATAAAGCCTCCCAACTAGTCGACATTTACTGTGTTTACCCAGAAAGCCAAGTTAACAGAAAACAAAGGTAAAGAAAACGAGTATATAACTTTACATCGATGTCATCGGTCGAAAACAAGTACTGTCAAATACGAAAGAAAGCAGAAAAATGGCCGTCGAAAGGAAACGATCGACGGGAAGTAATTTCAGTTTATCTTATCCGGTACTTTCTCCATCTAAACGACGCCGCTGACACAGACCTTTCTCGTAGAAAGTGTGTCGCCGGAGAGCATAACCTTAACCTGAGCGCGGGCGATCGCCCCAAAGCCACGGTCATGGCTAGTAATAATAGCCTTGGCTTGCTATTTGAATTATATACGAGTACCGTATCGATTTAGGTATGTATTCAGTTGAATCTATTTGGATAAATGGCTGGATTTCGAATAAATCTGAATAGTATCTCTAGTTGAGTTGAAGATGTAGATGTAGATTGTATGGGAGGGGAAAGTTGATGACCGCGACTTGATCCGTGACGAGATCTGTCCCCCTTTCTTGAGTCATATCTCATCATACAGTCCCAGAGCTTTGGCAGAAGCCAGTATCTGAGAAGGTTTTACTACATATATACAGGGTGGCCCATCGAAAACGTTCCGCAATGCATAACCAGGGCCGGCGGAAGGCAAATATTGAGACCGGGCGAGTACCCTATCTGGCGCCCACCTCCCCCAATAGTTATTATAATTCTCTTTTTCTTTCAAGACTGTCCTTTAATTACAACTAAGCATATTTATGCTACTTTAACAATAAATTTTCACGTAAAGATACTTCAAAATTCTTCTCTTCTATCAATCTTAGTCTGCGGTTTTTGTTTTTTGTATACAGGGTGCGTCTCGAAATTTACTCTCCCCTATAACTTTTATATTTTTTTACATAAAAACGAGATTTGGTATGTTAGTATATGACGTAAATTATTAGGATTGACTATTCCATTGTTTTGGCCACTTCCTGTTTCACCGGAAATGACTAAAATTTCTGATTTTTAAATGGCACCTCGATATATTTCTACTTTATTCGATAGAAAATGACACTCTCAGTAGAATGACATATTTATCATATATCAACTTTTGACATTTTCGTTCAAAAAGCTTTATATTTTAAATTTCAATCTAGAGTGCCATGGCTGTGTTAAAAACACTCATTTTTAAACAAGGAGCCTTGGAAAAATAGATTTAATCGTCTAATGTTTTTCATGTCTTGTCATGGCCGGTCCAAAAGATGCCAAAATCATATTTTTAATCGAAAATATCAAAAGATGACATATGTCATAAAGTAGAAATATGCCGAGGAGGCTATCGAGGGTGCCATTTAAAAATCAAAAGTTGTAGCTAGTAATTTCCGGTGAAACAGGAAGTGGCCAAAAACAATTGAATACGTCAATCAATCCTAATTTGTGTCGTATACTAACATACCAAATTTCGTTTTTCTGAAAAAATAAACAAGTTATAGGGGTGAGCCACTTTTGAGACGCACCCGGTATATAGAGTTATGAGAAATAGAATTCCAACTTCGGCAGCCTCGTTCTGGTATAAGTGATCTTTGAAAATATTAGTATTTGGTTTCAAGCAGTTGCATTATTTTTCT